GCATCGCATGCCCCCCGGACGCCTCCCTCGGGAGGTGCTCGGGTGCCGTCACGCTGGAGTGACTACGTCGCTCGGCTGGCCTAGGAACGCCTTGGGGTCCCCCCAGAAGAGCTAGAGGAAGGGTCGAGGGAGAGGGAAGTCTGGGTGTCCCTGCTCAGACTGTTGCCCCCGCGACCCGGCCCCGGATAAGCGGTTGAAGATGGATGGATGGATGGATGAATTAGATTTTATATTTTCTAATATACTGACAATATGGTGTATTGGGGAAAAAAACAGATATAGGAAGTAGAGTTAAAGTAACTTTGCTTTAGTGAAGAAAATGCTGATTGTCATAAACCTGGGAAACCACTCCTGGTCTCCCTGAACCATACGTGTCAGTAAAATAGGTTCAGTAGGGTCTACGAAGTACATATATTCCATTAAAGGTTTTAGCTTTGGAATACAAATTTCTTCACATTCACATTTCTTAGTCTTCTCAATCGATTTGTCTATTTCTATTTCAACATAAAACCTAGCAGAGAGCCTTTGTCCAGTCGGACTGATATGATGTACTATTTTCTCTGTGGAGCAAATCAAGGCTGCTGATGAGGCTTGATTCTAGGGAGCAGAGAGATTACACGAAAATAAATTGACCATTAATTTACCATAATGTCATCACCACAGCTGCAGCCTGGGAGCGTGCATGGTTTTATAGTGATGCTAAGTGTGGGTGTGTGTGCACATGCATGCCCTCTGTCAAGGGCTGTAATTGACCTTAATTGAGCCTCTGTGTTTTTTTTTCCTGCTGTTTCAGCAGAAGTAATAAGTAGCAGGTGTAGTTCATGTTTCTATTATAATACCTTGTTAAAGGTTGTTGATTACCGTGTCTGGCCACTCAAAGGACAGTGTGCGTGCCTCACTCCGGTTCATCTCCTTTTTTCGTTGCTTTCCCAGACGACTACTCATCAACTCTCAGTGATCATCACAGCCCTTCCTCCATTCCCATCTCTCCCAGTCCCAGAGTTCTCACTGGTTGTCCCATTCCCACTGTGCCTCCAGCCGGCCAATCCGTGCCCCACGTACAGTCTCCGCTGTCCGATCCCAGCCAGCCCCAGCCTCCGCTGCAGGTGGCCAAGGAGTGTCCGCAGAGTGCCAAGTCACCCAGCGGGTCCAGGTCTGGTGTGCGCGGCCCAGGCGGCATTGGCTCAGCTGTCTACTCTCCCACCAGGGATAAGAAACAGAAGCTCAGCGCCGCCAACGGCAGAGAGCGATCGGTTGCCAAGCAGCCAAAAAAAGCCCGGCAAAAAACTACCAACGGTTGGCGGCCAGTTGGCCTGCCCTTTCAGAAGGAGGTTTTCTCTGTGGTATGTAGAAAACGTCGTACTTATTCTGTTTCATGCAGCCATTGGTAATTAAATTTGATGTCATTTAACTGGTACTTTAAAAGGTTTGGAAGGATTCGAAAGCCATACAATCGGCCCCATCCTGTGTTTCTTCCTCCACATATCTGTCAAGGCTCAGAACAATTCAATACAAATGTCATACTGCAGATTTTAAATCCACAGCCTTTCACAGCTTATCAGTGCGTAGCTGCCGCAGTGTTCAGAGTCTCCTGCCGCCTGTGTGTGTTTTCAGGGAGAGGAGGCTCCTGTCCTGAGGAAGTGTTTTGAGGCCGTTCGGAGAGACGACGAGCTGATTCGAGTCAGAGACACTGTTTTGCTGAAATCAGGACCCAGGAAGAAGTCGCTGCCGTACGTGGCTAAGATCTCAGCGCTGTGGGAAGATCCTGAGTCAGGTTGTTAACTCAGTCAAACACATTAGCTCAGTTTAAACTGGCCAAATGTCTTCATGCATTTTAATCACTGTGGTTCAGCTACATCAAACACTAGGAATATATGCAGTCACTTAGACAGAACTGCTGTGAAATCTTCTAAGAATAGTGACGGTTAAAGAAGCCAGTAAAGAGGTGTTTGTCTTTCCTGCTGTGTGGAGGAGATAGACAAAGGGACAAATAAACAAACTTTGTCCTTTTTTTCACACACTTGCTTCATCAGCAATGACCGGCTGTACTGTGTTGTTGAGAACAAACCCATATTTGCCAGCGTTACAAATTTAGACATGATTGAAAAATAAAAATAAATACAGTAAATAACAAGCAAGTTAAATCTGTAGATACTTCCCATTTCTGTGTATCACCAGAACCTTAATATTTGTTCTTGAAAAGGTTTAAACAAAAAAACAAGAGACACAGAGTGAATATAGTCAACCACAGTAAACAAAAAAAACAAAAAAAACAAGAGACACAGAGTAAGTGAATATAGTCAACCACAGAACGACAGCTGCAGGTTCATTAGGATTTAATTTAGCCAAAAAACGAATTCAGTTAAGGAAATAAAACCAAAACAACTAATTTAGTTGGTTTAAACACGTTTGCCTCCGAATCGGACATTTACTGTCCACTCCACTGAGAGACACCTGGACATATATTTATGTGTGTGTGTGTGTGTGTGTATATATATACATGTATTTTTGTGTATATATATATATATATATATATTTTTGTGTGTATATATATATATACATATGTGTGTATATATATATATATATATACACAAAAATACATGTATATATATATATATATATGTATCTGTGTGTGTGTGTGTCTGTATAAATACAGTTTATATTACTCATGTAATGACCCTATGATGACTTCTTGTTGGAGCAGCTGTTCACATCAGTATCAGTCTGAACAATAATCAGCCTAATCCAGTTCATAGGTTCAAACATTTTCCACATCAAGCGAAGCTGCAGGGCTGCAGTCTAAATTACCCTGAGCACAGAGCTGAACGCTGTGTCTCTCTTCTCCTCAGGAGAGATGATGATGAGCCTGTTTTGGTACTACCGTCCAGAACACACACAAGGGGGACGCAACCCCGACGTTCATTGTGAGGTGAGCCACAAATATGTTCATGTCTGCGTTCTGTATTACCATAGTAACACTTGACACAGTTCAAAAATGAAAAGGTTAAACTTGACTTGACAAATGTGAGGTGAACTGAAAAATCTGATGGGTTGGATCCCACGGTCGGTACTGAGAATCTGAAATGATCAGTAAATCTAAATGTATACCGCTCTCTTCCTTCAGAATGAAGTCTTTGCATCACGTCACCAGGATGTGAACAGTGTGGCCTGTATTGAAGACAAATGCTATGTCCTAACGTTGGCACAGTATTGTCGGTAAGACTTTTTTTTTTTCTTTTTTTTTACAACATGGATTTTCTTTATAGTTTGACGTTGCCGTCTCACCCGCCTGTGTCGTGCTTTGTGCTCAGATTTCGTGCCTTTGTAAAACGCCAGAGGGAAGGCGTACAAGACAGTGCCGCCGCCCTCCTGGTGCCACCCATCTTTGGCAACACCATGCCCACCCACCACTGTGTGCCCGATGACATCGATCCAGAGCTGGTGTTCTTCAGTCGACACGTCTACGACTTTAGATACGGACGCCTGCTAAAGAACCTGCAGTAGCCTCTGTCAGGCGTGGTATATTTACACTAAGGGATGTGCACTGATGACACTCTGGTTTTATTCTCCAAAATTTTAATACGCGTCAAACCTACCTGCTGCCTCTGCCAGAGAGGAACTGGGAATTTAGGAGGAAGAAATTTGCTTGTTTTCGTTTGAAATTTCTTGATCATAGCCAACATGCCGCCCATATACTAGTAAGAGTAATGTCCGACATACAGTATTGTACCAGAGTAGTTATGGCAGTGTCATTGGGCTTTATCATACTTGGCTCTTTGTTGTTTTATCAGCTGTGTGAAGAACCTGGAATGTACTCTGCTGTAGAAAATGCTACTGTAGCTCTTAGAAATGTGACAGTTGATATATTTATACGTAAATATAAGCAGAAGTTGATGTAACACGTGAGTAACGTTACTGCCGGCCTGCAGATATCAAGAATCACTGAAGTGGCTGAAGATGTAATCATGTTCATGATTAGGATTAGAAAGTTCAACAGAGAGGTTTTTGTCCTTTTTGAAAAATGTAGTCGTGGTAAATGTAACTAATGAATTTCTTGCCAAAATGCACATGAGCGGATGATTAGCAGAATCATGTCAATTTAATTTCTCCATGAGTAGAAATCATTTACACATTTAGCTGTGTTACTAGCTGAGCGTGTAGCCACGTTCCGTTTGCCTAACACATTTGGCCAATTGTGTTGAGGAGGGTTTACAGTCTAATTCAAGGTGAGAAAGATTGAGAAAACATCAGGAAAGAAGTTCCAAGGAATATATTGTATGGCAGTTGCTAAGCTAGCAGCAGGATATTGACTGCGCATATAAACACACAGATTCAATCTCAGTGAGAAAATGTCTTAATATATCAAAAAATTATGTTTTACAAATGATGTTTTCTGTGACACTATTTACATCTCAGTGTAACAGACTCAGAATAAATTTGAACAAATCACTGACTGTATAACAAGTGGAGGTAGCCACCGGGTCGCAAAACCTGAAGCAGAAGTGGATATGACCTTAAAAAACAAAAGCTCCACTGGTTAAAATAGAGGAACATAACGTAACTTTATTTTCAACAACACAACATATTCTACAGGTGTTTGATCCCAGTCACTGTGAATTATAATGTAGACAAATGAAGATGAAGAGTCAAAATAGTAAACCACATATTAAACGCCCTTAAACATTGTCCTGTAAGTTGTACAAAATGAATAAAAATTGTTAAATGTCATGCAATTTTTAAAAAAACAATTACAGGGATTTCAGAGATAGTGTTGTATAAAATAGCTTGTTGTCGATAAATCAAAGTAGTCAAACACGAGTATCAGAATTGGCTAAAGAACATTACATTTACCATGGCCTACCATTTATATAACCTTTAACAGTAAGTCTAAATAATATATATACATATATATGTGCTGTATACTAATATCCACTAAAAGCCCATCAACAACACACACACAACAGTTGACCGGAAAGTAATAAAATGATCACTAAATGATCACTAAACGGAAAGTAATAAAATGATCACTAAATGTAATCAAATTAATAAGCTTTGCCTCCCTACTGTAGGTCATTCTCATACTTTCAAAGTAATATTTTCATCATACACCAAACTCAAACCAGTACAGCAGGCTGCTATCTTACATTGGTGACCTGGTTAATATTGTTTTCACAAAGGCAAGAAAATCCTATTTTAAAAAAAGCAGGTACTATTGGGGGGGGGGATGATTTTTGCACTTTTTAAAATCACATATAGCAAGACTTCGATGTAATGCCTAGTTTTCCCGATGGCTACGTCCATTTTTTATACACGGTCTATGAAATATCCACTGTTTATCTTAGTGGACGTGGAATAATGAAGTGTAATTCCTTAAATGAATTTGAAGGACTAATGACATTTTATGACATCAGTCGTGAATTCTACGTACGTCAGCAGAAAAAGCACAGTTGTGATTGGCTGCCCAGGAGCGAAAGTCACCGTTGCTGTGCTTTCAGTTGCAGTTTTTCTTTTAAAACATTTACATTTCTCACCGCTGTAAGCCACAGATGAGGTTTAGCTGTACACCCTGAGTGTGTGTTTGTGTGTTTGATGCTGGCAGATGGCAACAGTTAGTCACTAATATTCTTGATTCTTCACTAACTAGATGCTGAGTAATGTATTCAGTGTAGCATTTAGATCTGTGATAATGATTCATTCCTATGTTGGAAAAAAAAGATATGTATTTATTTCTGTACGGAGAAGAAAAAAATATATAATTTATTTTTAAAAGATAATTTTAAATAATAAGAGTTCTAGATGAGTGGCTTCTTTTCCTGATTAGGAAACAGGTCCATGTTCTTCACCTGCATTATCTAAGATGAAAAGTATCGATGAGTCTTTTTGTTATTTTTTTTCTGTGATTGATTGAGCTTGTTTTGGTTTTTTTCCCAGTAGAAGCCTATTAAATGTTGTGGCGACTTTTCATAGTCCTCCAGACAGATTTATGGAAGGACGGATCAGATACAGATTTGAAGGACACCTGTTAACATGTGACCAGATGCTTAACTTGCCGGACCAAACCCTGTGTTGGCCGCTCCGGACTCCCTGTCATGTTCTTGTCCCGTCCCCTCAGACATTAAGGCTTTGCTCTTTCACCTTTAATCACTGAACGCTACGATGATTCAATCTTACCTTGCCATTAGCCTGTGCCCTTGACCTTGCTGCCTTATAGAACATTCCCGGCCTTTCATGAAGAAACGTGTGCTTATTAGATCGTCGATCTGTTCCTAGATGCTTGAACTGCATCACATGTCCATGTGTCGTGCATCTGATCCAGCGGTTTCAAACTCGCAACCATGCTGTCACCATCCACGTTGTGGTTAAAAACCTGCCCTGAAGCTTCATGTCTATGATTTGAACTACATGTAAAACAGTGTATGCATTCACAGACATGACCTGCCCTACTGCGCATCTGATTGGCTAACTCAGGTAAACCAAACTTGCCGACCAGATGCAGGTCATGCCAGTGATGCCTTCACTGTCCTTGGGGAAAACGTTTGATTGTACTGGGATGTACTTCATACTTTCAGCCATTGTAGTGCAGCATGTAGTGTCGTATTTACAAGATCAGTGGCTGCTTTACAAAAGGTTGGGCTAATTACAGACTATGTGAGTGACACAAAGCACAGTTTTCTGCTAAAGCCAAAATAATACTGCAGTACAACCGTAAAGTTTTATACAAATGTGCCCAAAAGAAGCCTTTTCAGATATTTGGCAGAAAGTAGTGAGCGAATAAGACTGACTTTATTTGTACATTTTTCATGTTCAGTCCCAGCGCCCACGTGACCCTGGATGATCAGTGGCGGTCCAGGTCTATTGAGTTTGACACCTCTGATCAGATCAGATGCGTAGACCTAATCTTGTATCGACATGTTTTTTGTTTTTTTTTCCTGTGTGTTCATGATTCATTTGAGTTGAAATTGTAAGAGAGAGCAGAGAGGTGCTGCAAAGTATTTGACATTATGTGTAGTTTTTAAATTATGCAAGGATTATTATCACTCGTGTGTGTGTGTGTGTGTGTGTGTTCGCTGAACTGTAACCCCAACGCCCAGGTGATTTAGACTACCTACCACTGTCTCCCAGTTTAATGACATGTTTAGTCTTAATTAATCCAGTTGTTGACAACAGCCTTATGTGTTGTTGTGTGATAACTATTATAGCTGGCTCGCTGCAGTATGTCCTTTAACGCAAGTTTAATCCTCTAACAATCATTTTCAAAACAGAAGGCGTTCCTTCCCTTCATGAATTTGTCACTGTTTTGTTGTTTAATCCCCAAACAGCTGTTCTTACTTGTAACTTGATTTGTAATAGTTGCCATGCTGCTGAGGTTTTGCAAAAGTCCAAAGAAAAACATCCGATCTTTTATCTTCTCTCCATCTGGACTGTCAACCATTTAAAAACCATTTCACTTTTCTACACACAACTTGCTACTGAAAAATGTTCACATCAGAATCAAAGTATTGCTTTCAATGGGGTTTTTGTGTCCGTGTGAAACATTTGTGTGTGTTTAGATCATTTTTCAGCTTTCTTTTGTCTTTTGAGTCGTTATTGAATTTTTCTTTTGCTTTCTTGTTTTCCCCAACATATGCTCAGTTTGTTCCATATTTAGTGCGGGGTTAATTTGATTCAGTAATTATGGTCTTGATGTAAATAAATTTAATAAATTAATATATTCCTATCAATTAATCAGTTGATTTGAATGAATAGGTTAGGTGATAGGAACAAACACACCTGCCTTTTACATCGTTGTCAACAAACCAAAGGACAGGTTTTTAAAAAGTAAAGCCCACACAGCACAGTTCTTCCTAGCAGAAATAGAGAAATGTAATAAGGTTTGATTTTTTATTTTAGCTCTAATGTGTGGTTTACAAACAACCTAAAACACAAGAAAATGTTTTTGATAATGTGTCAGATTCACAAGACTTAACTCTGAACCTTCATATATGTCATTTAAAAACATTTACAGTTGTGTCATGGCCTTAGCAGACGTTAAGTTAGTAAATTATGCTTCACTGCGACGTGTGGTACCATTGTCTTAGTTGATTCTCCGTGACGGTTCCCTTAATCCTAAAATATTCCACATCTTTCAAGAGAAGGACAGGATTTTTATTTTATGTTTTTGTGTGTGTGTGTTCACTTCACAAATGCCTTTCGTTTTGATGATGCTGATGATGCAGGTTTGATTCTTGAAATACCACAAAAATACAAAACTTCATTCCCAGGTGTACAAAAACCTAAAGTTTGTTTCTTCTTATGTGAATTTATGTTTGTATTCTTTGCATGGCATTTTGGAAATATCTTGGAAATATTAACCACAGCACAGATTATTTGTATGGTTTTAAATGGACCTCTGTAATATAAGAAAAATATTTAATTGTAATAAATAATATATGCGTTTGAAACTGTTTTTGATGGAGTTTCTTCTACACAATAATCATTTTGATTTTTTTATTTTATTTTAGCTTTTGGCTGCCTCTTTTATAATTATTCAGTTTTTTAACTTTAATAAGTGTAGTTATTTTGAATTCTCGAATCATTCTTGTAGATCAGCATAGTTGGTTAGTGTATAACATTTGTAAAATATCATTAAATTGTAATGTGTAAGTTATAAATAACTAAGTCGTATTGGCTATTTTTTCCGTATATAATACAACTAATTTGTGTTTTGTTTTGTTTCAGTTAACACACACAATTTATGCATCACTTTAACGGACAACAAAAAAGCACACACATAAAAAAAGTAAAACAAACTGCTTTATCTTGCAGTTCATATAGCAGCCATTTTGATTAAATGATGGAACTGTTACATTTCGATCAAGTTTGCTGTATCCCCATTTCCGGGGTGGGCCTATAAAATAAACGAACAAAGGAATTCGTCTTAATAGAGGCAGGTGCGCGTCATTAGGGAGAGCAGAAGATGTAGGACAGTGGCGGGAAGGTAACCGGAAGTAGGTGACAACCATTTGAAACTACCGAGGAGACTGACAGGGAAAATAGAAACTTTTAAATTGTTCGATGCAGAGAGCATACTCCTGTTCAAATCTCCCACGAAAAGGTAAGTCATCAACAGATTATTTATCATATGATTATTTTAAAAGTTTGAGAAAAAAAATCTTATTTTTCACTCATTCTCGCAGAACTTAAACGTAATTGTCGATAAATCCAAACATATCGCTTTACGAAATTTACCCAGGTTTTAGTTGTAGTACTAGCCATTGTCCACTTGAGGGCTCCCATTTCCAATCATTTCTATTCTAATACAGTAATTGAAGAAGCAGTTAAAGTTTTTGATTCATTATAAAGGCAGATATTCAACCACAAATCAAATCTACAATCGAGTTATTTTCAATCAGTGTAAGACAAATATATTAGGTGAGTTCATGTAGAACTTTTAAAACCAAACAATTGTTTGTTAATGAGCAATGGTAATGTGTTAATGTTAATGAGCAATGTAGCCATATGAAAATTTAAGAACAATACAACAAAAACCAAAAAAACTACTTCATAATTTCAAAAAGGAAATCCCCCCTTCTGTTTCCTGGCTTTACCTTATTTATTCCTCTCCACCTGGAGTGATTAGGATCTCATTGTCATGGTTCACTGAATACATTGATGGAGGGAATAACAGAATGCGAACATCTTGAAATTGCACACAGAGACGTCGTCTAACTTCAATAATCAGGTCTTTGATTAATATGTATGAAGCATCCGACTCTAATCAGGTTTTCAGACACTTCCACGTACACGGAGACACTCGGTGATGAAATTATTAGGAAAATAAATAAACATTTTCAGTTGCAATCATGTCCTTAACTCTGAACTAATTCAAACCTGAGCCAGGAGGTCACATCATATGAAGGCTTGAAAAACCCAAAGGTTGGTTCTCTAATGCCAGTAGGTAATAATCTATCATCTGTCATGTGTTTGTAATCAACAGGTGTCATGACATTAAACCTTTTGAAAATATATATTTTATATATGGCATTTCATTTAAATGATAATCAATACATGAAATATGCAGCAGGTGTTTGACGTTAATCAGGCGGCGAAGATCGACTTCAAACCTGCTGCTGTTTACTCTCAGTTAATAACAGTGTGGGTTGCATTTGATTTGTTTTTTTATTCACGTTTAGCTTATGTTTGTTATCTTGTAGATATTTTAAGCTTTTTTTTTTTTTTGTCTTTTGACATTTTTACAGGTAGCTTTAAGCTTGTTATTTTGGTAGTTGTATTTATTTTCCTGGTTGGATTGTTGGATTTGGATTGTTAGGTTATTTTGGTTGTTACTTATTGAATTAAAATTGTTTGCTGGTTGAGCTAAATATGCCAATATAGCTTTATACTTATAATATTTCTGTAAACAAACTTGGATTTTTTTTCGTTCTTTTACCAAAATTCCAAGATATTTTTGCTATAATTTCACTACTATTGTCCTACTATTGTTTTCACATGCATAAGGAACATAATTTGGTTTTCAGTTATTTTTTAATTTTTAAGTCCCACTTTGGGTACCATTGTTTCAATTCTTTTTAAACATTGCAAGGCTTTACAAACTTTTATTTAAAATTAAACTGTAGTAAAACTGTAGTATTATACAGGGTGTTATTCATGTAGTTTTAATATTCTACTGCTTCAGTTGGGTTAAAAATTATAGTTTAATAAAAGTGGACGTAAAAAGCAATCTTATATTAAATCAGCGACTGCATAACAGATAAAAAATCACATGTCCTTAATTATACAAAACTACTTAAACTCTTACATCAGTGACATTAGCATACGCTCTTTAAGTGGGTCTCTATTTGCATTTTCACAAAAGATATTTCATATTCCAAATTGAGAGCATTAATAATACTCATATAAGAGTGTGGCTCATATTTTGTGCTACTTAAAGTGATTTGTGCTAACACGGTGTGACATTCAACGTGTAGTTCATCTTCTCAACATCAGCTTCTAAAAATGAGCTTTTCATTCTCTGTAACCTCCTCTGTGGTTTCTAAAATAAAAAACCCTTCTATTAAAGAATATTATCTGAACAGTAATTGTCCATTATATAACCTCAAAAACAAGTCTGCATCAGTCCACATGATCAAAAGACTGCTAATGTTAGATAATTAGCTCCATCAAATCATTAAAAACACACATTATTGAGAGTCATTTTCACTGAAGCACCAGTGCTTCATGGTCTGAATCGAAGTTCTAGTTATTATATAATCTAAGCTGACGGGCGTCATCTGTCTGTGGCTCTTTATATTTCTGTGAGTTCATCGTCTTTTATTTGAATCCTCATTCGAACCATTACTAAAACCGCTATACGTATGTTGTGCGACGTGACAGCAATCTAATGGCTAATTAAAAATACAACTTTGTTCCCTGACTCAGAATATCTCTTTGATTGGGTGATTTTTAAAAAAATCAGTAACAGCAGGTGGTTTCAATAACAAACTAACTAATAATAAGTGAGGTGTTGTGTTTTACCACACAACCAGGATATGTGATTGGATTGGACAAGACCAGAACTGAACATCATCAGTGACGAACACATCCCCAGGATTATACCAGGTTGTTTTCCTGACCCTGACCTTTAAGCTCTTTGTGTCCTGTAAAGTAGGCCTTCTTAACACCTGGTTCGTGGACCAGGACTGGTCGGTGGGTCATTTGGTACTGGCCCGCAGTGAAAGAATTACAAATGTACTTTTTATTTATTTATTTTTATTTAAAGACCATCAAAGATAATCTGACAATTGTTAAAAACGACACGTCTTTCAGTCTCCGTCCAAAACTGTTGTTATAGATATTGTAGATAGAACAGTAAAAACACACAAATGGGTAAAATACAATAAAATACAAACGTGAGTAGCAGTTGAGTAGCAACCTGAGCAGTGGATGTTAGTGGATCAGTAGGTAATTATTGTTGCCGTGTACTGGTGTTGTTGATGGCATGTTGTGTAAGGTTATGTAATTGTTTTTTTTAAATGTTCTGATCCTTAACAATGTTTCTCAGCAGCCAGTTCATCAGGCCTTGCAAAGAATGTCCTGCAAGGCTGTGATCATGTGACAGGAGCTTCGGTGCTCCGCTTCAAACAGTGGACTCCTTTAAAGTTTAGTGAAGCAAACAGAGCAGCGGCGGAGAGAGATGGAGGAGGAGAGCTGGCCGACAGAACATCTGTGGTGCCTGTCATGTCCATCCTTACATCTGTGTGGTAAGGAATATCTTGTGAGAGAACTGTAAAAGGAGTGATTACAGAAACTGAAGAAGATTGGATCGTGAACATTAGTTTGTTTGTTAGTTAAGGAGAGTCCAGAAGCTGTATATTATAGGAATTAAGAATTAACGCCTCATAAAAAAAACACATTTATTTGACACAAATGTTACAAAATTTACACAGAAAATTACAGAAACATAATATTTTGAATTTATACAATAATCCAATAATTCAACACAATTCATTGTGTTTTAATTCACAAATGTGTGCAAAAAACGTAATTATAGTTGAAGCACTGTGATGTTTTTATTGTTGGCTATGAGCTGTTTGGCTGTGAATTTCAGTTTTGTTAAATTAGAATTTACAATAATTCCCCATTTTAGACAGAAAGTCATTCTTCACTGTTCACTGAAAATATCTGCATCCAAACAACAAAGATCCTGTTCACTGAAAATATCTGCATCCAAATAACAAAGATCATCATCATGTGGTGTAAAAACTCAAGCGTAGTTCTCTTCAGGAGTGATGCGGCTCTGTCCCAGACCTGGCAGATCGGCAACAATGGTTGTGGTGTGAAGACGCGTAACTTTGGACATTTTCAGGGTGCTGGAGCCGGCGTTTTGGTCTTTTCCATGTTCTTTCCTCCAGGACAGGAGTTGTTGGCACAGGTAGGACAGAATCTTGTTGTGTAATGATGCGTAAATGAAAGGGTTGTAACAGGTGGAGGTCATGGCGAACAGGTGGCTGGAAACCTGGATGACATTTATGTAATCTTTTCCCAAAATAGAGAAGTCGGTGTCCAGGTCACGGATCAGATTCACCACCTGCAAAAAAAATAAATAGTGTTAAAATAATAAAACTAATCTGATGAGTAGATTTAGTAAAAACGCTAATTGGTCTTGTTTGGGTTTTTTTTTATTTTTTTTTTATTTATATAGTTCTTTGCCAGAGTTAGATTTAGTAAAAACGCTAATTGGTCTCTATTGGTTTTTGTTTTATTTATATAGTTCTTTGCCAGAGAGGTACCATTACACATATTTACTTTGACATCAGATTATATACTAGTCAAACAGAAGATTATTTGCAAAACTAAGTCATACTGTTGCAGATTATACTGATACTACTCTGGTGTTGGCTCCTGTTAGCAGCAGCTGTTAATGTCACATGGACTTTACGAACGTTGCAGATTATACTGATACTACTCTGGGGTTGGCTCCTGTTAATGTCACATGGACTTTACGAAGCCTATGTCATCGATCGTAGCATCATTTCTGCAGGAATGACACCTACAATCCTCGGTCCACTGACCACTAGGCCGTGGGCTGCCCAGGGGATGAGAAGGTTACAGCAGCTATTCTGACCAGGAAGTGTCCAATCACAGTACTGACCTGGGGCGACCCTGCCTGGTTTTTGAGATCAGATGAGATTGGAAATGTTCTGCTTTTCAAATTTGATGTTATACTGGAGGCCTTTATTGATGGACTGGGACCTTAAGAAAAAGGGCGATTCACTAAAAGACTTGTGAGAAGTTGGGTTGTTTTCCCAAAGACCCCAATTCTTTTTACGACCATTGATGTCAATCCCTCTTCACCTTCACTGATATTTTAACTCCTCTGGACTCCCCTTGGTAAAGGTTCAGTACCACTTCTGTGGTAAAGTGACAGACTATTGATTCCCACTGTTGACTTGTCTGATCCTAAAGATTGTTTTGAAGAAAGGGACAGAGTTGTCTTTAGCTCGAAATCCCTGAAAAAAGACTGATCAATTTTCAGAAGTAGTTTTTTCACCTAATCTTTAAAGTTGTAATAAAGCCTAATGCTATCGACATTAAAACTGTCCCTTTAAAATCACCAAACCATCGATCTGCAGTACCTGTAAGGGCAGCCAGGAGAAGGCAAAACAGAGGACGGACACCAGCAGCAGACAGAAGGTCCTCTTCCTCCGTTTGCTCCAAACAGCCCGTGCCGTCCTCAGCTCTGGACACGCTGTTAATCCAGAAATGGTCCTCTGCTTCAGATGATAGGATATAGCACAGTAGGAAATGGAGACTGCAGCCAAGGGGACGAAGTAGGAGAAGAAGAGGACGAAGCAGGAGTAGATAAGACGACCTCGCTCCTGGCCGTCCCAGAACTCCTCACACACAGCCATCTCCAGGCCTGTAGCCTGCAGGTCCAGATAGACGATGTGCAGAGCCGTGGGCAGTGATAGTACCAGCGCGGACAGCCAGATTATGACCACCAGACCCCAGCAGAACAGGCAACCCACTCGTTTGCGAATGGGATAGGCCACGACGATGTAACGATCGACCGCAATGGCCATGAGGGACAGCACCGCCGCATAGACGGCGGCGGACTGCATGACCGTGACAAAATGACACATGTGGGCGCCAAAAATCCAGCCTCGCTTGTCAAAAGCATAAGAGGCCGTCAGGGGGACGCAGAAAATGCACATGACCAGGTCGACAACGGCCAGGTTACTGATGAGGAAGTTGGTGGTGTTGTGTCTTTTCTTGTTGTGCCACATGAGAAAGAGCAGAAGGAGGTTGCCAGAAAGAGCAACCAGGACAACAGCAGAGTAGAGAGGGATGAACAGGAGCTTCAGTTCAAACAGCAGGTCCAGACCAGAGAAGGTGGGGGCCAGGTACAGGGAGGTGGAAAAGTAGGAGCTGGACGAGTTACAGCAGGGAGAGAAGAAGGAGGTGGATGAAGACGCAGGTCCAGGTGCAGGTGAAACTGAAGAGATGTTCGTTCCTGACTGGTTCAGTGACGTGTCCCAGTCCATGGCTGCAGAAGGAAAAATGATACCAGGTTGTTAGATGTGAGATCACGTTCATTAACGCATATTTTTAATACATTTCAGGATCTGCTATTTGTGTCATTGACCTGGATCCTTTGGAAGGACAGAGGATAGAGTCTAGCTCAGCTGCAGCCACAGTGGTACTGCCTCAGGTGGTACTGTCTGAGACAGTTTTAATTTCCAATGCACAATTTATATCAGCTATGGGGTAGTTATGGTGTGGTGTCTATCCAATCATTTCTTCTTTTTTTTTTATTTACTTGTTGATTGAAGATTATTACATTTATTGATCCCATACTGGAGAAATTGTGGAAAAAGTCAAGTGAAAATGGCCAAAGTTTTACTCAGTAATGACATTTTTACATATTAATTTCATCATTTGAATGAGAGAAAAAAACAGGTGTAAATATCATACATCCACCTGCTGATATTCATCTTTTTGTTGGTAAAATAAGTAAATATGACTTTTTTTTAATCAGATTAATTTTTTAGACAACCGTTAGACAACTCTGGTTAAAACTAATGAACTTTTGGTTGTTTTCATAAGAAAAAGATGCCTACAAAGTTTTGTGCTGCTCTTGCACAGTCAACATCGCCAAAATACGTCCTAAATACAACTGTGGGATTTTACATGGTACTTCCTTGGACTCCTTTGACGTTGGTCTGTTATTCTCTCGTCACTGTCAGTACTTGTGTGTTCAGTTTCCATCCACTCTTCACAGACTCACATGTGCAGCATTAAACAGTAATAGTCTGACGGGGGAAAAGTCAATCGGGTTTTGATGGGAGAATAATTGATATTAATGGGAGGTTTATAAAAAAGGGTGACAAGAGGTGAGGAACAGGACGGTTGTGAGAAAAGATATGATGTATGGTTTGGGACGGTGGCGAATAATCTAAGAGAGGGCTCCTCAACCTCTGGTCCGCAGGCTGCTACTGAGCCATGGATCATTAGCCTATAGGAAATATTGTTATAGTTGCAGGATTTTAAATAAATATGGCAAAAAAAAAAACATCTGTCACACTCACTGAACCCGAGCCTTAGTTTGATTCAACAAAGCAATATGTCAGTCCAGACTTGTGCCTAACATAACTTCACAAAAATAATATTTATATATATATGTGTGTGTGTGTGTGTGTGTGTAGCAACTTGCAGTACTGAAGTACACAGCGAAACAAACAATATGTAAAAAAAAAAGATTTTAATGTTACCACGATTTGTTATAATGATTTTGCCTTATATATATATACACATATATGTACATATATGTATATATATATATATTTACATATATTCTGCACAATCTGAAAAATCTGTATTTCTGCTAAAATTGCATGGAAAAGCTTTAAAAAAAATGATAAAGATGATAATAATCGTTCCTGTATGTGTGATAATTACATATAGTGTAATTTGAAGAAACAACACATCAGAACAGTGACAGTCAGTCAGTGCACTCTTACTAACGTCTTACTAAAGCTTTAGCAAAAATGTGCTTCTGCTGCAAATTCATCAACTGATGAAAAAATAATAACAAACGTCCATAATGTTGACATCTGATAGGAACCTGATTTGAATCACAGTTCCACTTCTGTCGCTAGAATACATGTATTTAATGTAGCAGTAATTACCTTGTTGTCTGTCGTTCAGCAGCTGTTTGTCCTCTGTTTTCAAGAAGTCCAACCGTTTCTTCTTACTTTGTCTGTTAAATTTGGTGCAGAAGAAATTTGCTGCTCTCTCTCTCTCTCTCTCTCTCTCTCTCTCTCTGTCTCTGTGTTAGTCTCTGTCTCCCCTCTGACCACACACACAGATGTACACTCCTGTGAGTGAGTCACTTCTTCTAGAGAGGTTTCACAAAAACAATCTACATTGACATTTCAGTCTCACCTTTGTGAACGATCGTTATGGTCTCCTCTGAGGGGCCACACAACCTCTCACATCAAATATGAACAGGGAGTCTGTTCACAACATTTTTTATTTTTATTTTTCACCGTTTTTCTTGCAGTCATTAATTTCCCCCGTTAGCGCTCGTGTGTCTCTGGGGCACACGCACACTCCGTTTTATAGCGGCTTTGACACAATATTGGACCACATTTCTGCATCTGATGTTCTTTCCATTTCGTCTTGATATTTGCATCATCTCGACAACTAAGTGAGAAGAGAGTGCAGGAAAAAAACACTGCCTCAGTAATGATTTTAGAATGAAAAATGATGAGCAAGAAAAATGAAGATTTTTTTTTTTTTTCATTTTAAAACTTTTACTGAACAGTTTATAACATTTTTGGTTGATTTGGATTTGTTTTTTGAGCTGGGAGTTTGAGGATTTTATTTTTTCGGTCTGTCTGGCAGATTCCTGAAGATTTTGTGGGGTTACTATTCACACTAAAATCCAGCTGAAGCCCAAAAACAAAAGCCCGAAAATGTGATGCTCCCACCTTGGTGCTTTACTATTACTGTGGTGTGAGGCACATTGTGTTCTCCTGGAGTTGTGTAGTTCTTTTAATACACATTGTCTCTTTGAAAGTATGGTTAAAAAAATCTTCAAATTATTATGTTATAATTCATATTTCATAGGAAATGGATATGGTAAGGGAGTTTTTTTTACAGTTTTTTTATTATTTATTTTAGTCAAACATCTGGCTTTGTTTTTTTTAAATTAAATTTAAAATGTAGTCTAATTTCAACAGAAGGTCTCTGAATAGAAGGTTTGTTTTTTGTGATGATGCAGATGGTCTGCATTTTTTTGCTTTTGCTGTTTGATGTAATTCAGTCAATGGCAAAGTATCTTGTTACAACAGCTGAACTTTGTCTTTTTTTTATTGTTGCTAAGTTTGTGCTTGTTATTAATGGTTTTAATGTGACGTGGTTCATCGTTTAAATCCAGGGTGTCAAACTCAATCTTGCAAGGGGCCGAAATTTAGTTGTGGTCCAAACAGGGTTGACAAATACTGAACAGTCCATTGTGTCTTCATGATGCAGGTCACAAAATCAATGTACATTTTGGAAGACTTGAAGTTTTTAGTAAACAAATGTAAATGAATTAATTGTGAATTAACACATACTTTGACAACTGCAGAAACAGTAAGTTCTTTGAGAGCTTTATTTTATTACATCCATTTGCATGATAAGCTCTGGCGGACCACATTTGGCCCACAGGCCTTGAGTTTGACACAATTAAATTGTATTAAAGGTAACAATTAAAAAATTAGTGGAGGTTGAAGAAGAAATCGTGAGAACGACCCGAGTTCTGTCATTCTGAATGTTATGTCATGAACGTCTCTTTATGTGGGCTGTTTTTTTACCTTTGGTTTAAACATTTTGTTAACCCAGCCTGACAGAAGCATGTGGGGGTAAAGCAAGAAATTGAGTAATTAGGCCACAAACCATGATCTTTCTCCAGCATTTCCCTTGATAAATATTCATAACCATTTTTCTAATAAGACAATCAAGAGTCCTGGTAGCAAGTCATAAATGAAGATAGAAAAGAAGATGGAAGATAGAAAAAAAATGTTGGCACTTGAGGCTTAAAAGAAAAGAGGAGACAAGTGTTAAATTATGGACAAAGATTTATCATCATTTTTAATCTAAAGGCCTGTAATTCATAACAACTCCAGTAGGGATTAAATGCATAATGTTGTGCCAGTTTAAATTTGTCCATTAACGTTAGTTGTTTTTCCATTTCTACAAAATAGTTATGTACAAGGAACTTTCTGGTACTTTTGAGTGATCAAGTTCAAACCAGGTTTTTTTCAGCTTTTTTTTTGAGTGGTTGGACCACAATGATTTTACGAGTCTAAAGGAGACAAAAATATAATCTTTTGTTCAATAATAATTAATAAGTACATATGTTCAGAGCATTGTGCTCTTCATATTTTAATGTCCATTTACAGCCAGACATTAGTGGAAACCTCCAGAGTCTAATCTTCTACCATAAGTTGCAGAATGATGATCAACAGCTGCCAGTTTAAATTAAATTGATTTGTTCTGACTTTAACCAGAAACTAGAAAAGTATATATAGTCCTTCCACTTTCATAGTATTACACAGACCTGTTAGTTCAGTATGCTGCATCTTTACACCCTGTAACACCACCAGAGCAGAGAAGACATGACTTAATATAATGATCAAAAATTAAGAAAAACTATTAAAACACATTTTAATCATGTGGTGAAAACAGATTTACTTTATACAGACATGTAAAAAGAACGATTTTATTGATACTTGGGTAAAATAACATGTCAACAATAAAGATGTTAGTAATGTGTATGTATATATGTATACATACATACGAAATAGATTGCTGTGCCGATTTATTAGACATCTAACATAAAAATTGTGTAGTTTTTTAAAAAAAATGTATATTTGTTTTAACATTACTTAATAGCACACATCTGCCTTACCTTTTGCAAAATACTGCATATAACATCAGTATTTCTTCTTGACACACACATGAATAGTTCAATATAAATAAACTTGTTTGTCAAACACTGTCATTCTAAAATGTTAATGACACTGGCACCTGGTTCCTTCATCTCGGCACCTGTTTCCCAGGGAGGAAGAATTACTGTGAAGTAAAGTAGTTGACACTACGCAAGAAAACAACAAGGACAGAATGAGGACTGAGTACTTAGTTGCTGCGGATATGGAGAATAAATAAAGGCTGTAATTACTTCCTTTGACCACTAATAAAAGGACAAAAACAAGAACATCAACATGGGTGGAAAATGGGTGTCCAGGCTACAAAGTCACATGTTCTAAAGATGTTGTTAATCACGTTCTCCTGTCCTCGTTCCTTGAACACAATCATTTCTCTGGACTGGGGACGTCCACTTCTTCAGAGTGCTGTGCGTCTCCTTCTGTTTCCTCTCCATTTTGTGTCTGGTTTGATTCGGACGGCTCTTGGCTCTGCGACGGCCTCAGCAGATATTCCAGCTCCTCTGCACTGATGGCTACCTTCTCAGGGATCAGCCACCTCTTGAAATGTTCAAGTGCACTGGAAGAGGTAGATACAAAAATGGAAGCAGTTGGTCAATTTAGTTTCTGATAGCGGAGGGAATTGTTCTTTTCCTCCAGTTAAAAAAAAGTAATTACTGAGAAATGGCTAAAAAATTACCCAGAACAGTCAATACCAATAAAATACCTGAAACATTGGTTTAAAATCCAGCTCCTGTTTTCCTACCTTTCATCTATGTCTCCACCTTGAAAAAGCTCTGAGGTCTGGGCATCGTGCAGGAATCTATCCCAGCATTCTTTTTTAGCTTGAGACAAAGAGCGCAGCATGTCCCTCGAGGTGACATCACTGCTGTGGCCCTTTAACTTCTTCAGACGGTTCTCTGCAGAACAATATAAGTCACATATGAAGTCTGGAGTCTCCAAATATCTAAATAAATAATGTATCTGTTAGGTAAATCAATTAATTACTGTATGAATTATAATTATATTAGTTACAGTTATAATTATATTAGTTAGTTAATGATCAACGGTATGAATTATAATTATATTAGTTACAGCCGCAATTAATGATCAACATCAAACGATGGCGTTAACATGAGAACATTTTTGTTCACAATAACATAAAGTTTACAGTACCTAAACTGGCTATGTAAATCTCTGAATCCTCCATGGGTTCCCACTTGACACTGGTAGAGTCATGGTTTATCCCGTCAGATTGACCAATAACTACTGTACGGACGTTTGCTGTTGGCTGGAATGAGTCCTGGAAATCTCCGTTGTTCTCCGGTGCTACCTCTACGTTTACGACCGGTAGACTGGAGCAGATCTCCGTCCACAGCTCACCGCTGGAGCGGACATCGTGGCTCTGCTTCTCGAAGTCGTCCGTCATTCCGCAGCTGTCATAATGTCAACATCAGTGTCAAAACGAAGCCATTATTACCCGACATGCCTAAGAGAATCAGCATTTAAAAACTAGTAAATTCATCAAACTTATGGAAAAAAGATATTCATGAAAATGTGGTAAATACACTGCAGAAAGGACTGTGAAGCTGCACCATTTAGGCTACGACTACAATCGTTAGCTTAACCATTTCGTAAAGCATGTTTATGACTTTTAGCTATGCATATCACCACCGTCGGTATATTATTTGCAGCATCTTACCTTTAGAAAAACAATAGCAATGACTTCTATTATCACATCCACAGACTTTCTGTAAATTCAAACACTTAGCCTCACTAGCTAACCACGTCCATCGTCCACAAGCTCATATAAACAACAGCCTACTTCCGTAATTGGGTTGCAATGATAGGGCATATTATACGCCTATCAAACTTCCCCATATTGTTATTGGCTGTGACCGCATCTGCTAGAACGTCGGTATCTTATTGGTCAGCTAACCTTGAGAGGCGGGCTCTGAGAAACGCGTCAGCTTGAAGGAAAGAAGAATCTGTGGCGAAGGTAAACATTCTCACAGACCTGCTGAATGATTTTATTAGTTAGTGTTAGCTTTTTGACACGTCACGTGGGCTTCTACTTGACAAAAGAAGATATTGTTAAATATAAAATGTAAATATGGGGGCCTAAACGATGAATATTCGGTTTACTGTCTGAAGAATGTGCTTTATTTTCCTTCGCTGCAGGGAGTATTCGACGGAGGGAAGAACTGAGTTATTTTCAAACAGTCATTAACAAACAAGAGAATCTTTGATTTTTAATTTGTCCTTTGGGTTACACGGTGTTTTTTTGTTGTTGTATTTTTGTTGCCTCTATTTAGCTAACAGTTAAAAGAACATTATACATATGTTGCATCTAAAAACGGACTTTAGAATGATTTTATTTATCTAATAAGCCTAGAAACTTATTGTTGTGTTTTTTTATATATGTTTTGGCTAAATATCATTGGATTGAGTTTGTGTTTTTATGATTATGTCACTGCAGGAAGCTGCAAAGTGAGAGGAAATGCTAGTGACCCTGCGTCTGGCAGTAGTGGCAGTACCTATGGGTTTACTGCTGTCCCGTAGTATGGCCTGGATGTCCAGTGGCAAAACACACCCAGAGCTCGTCAGCAGACTCAGGGGTAAAGATTCGAAATTACAGTGGCTCAAAAGCAATTACATTTACATCAATACTAATAGAAATACTGTATATACAGGAAAATAAAAACACCCTTAAATATGGGCTAACTCTTGCACATAGTTTTTGTCTTTATTAAACTTATTGTACATCTTGAATGCTTTTTCCTTTACAGACAAAAATAAATATTTCATGTTTGTATGGATTTAAATATGCTGAAAATGGCTGAAGTGAAGTTTCAAACAAACACTGCATGGAGGTTTACAGTTAAATGAACTCAAAAACACCAAGAAAGAAAAACCATACGAGCGCTTCTGCTCGGTGGCGCCTCCTATCCTCTGTTCACTACCCTGTCTTCTTCTCTTTTCTGTTAGATCATGGCGTCATCCGCAGTGACAGGGTATTTGAAGCCATGCTGGCTACAGACAGAGGGCTGTACTGCAGAGACTATCCGTATACAGATTCTCCTCAGTCCATAGGTAATGAATGAAGCTAAAGAATGATTAGCATCATAGCTAAAAAAGTAACTTTCTGCTGTTAGGTAATGGATGATTTTGAAGCTGACGTGTACAGTTTGACTGAGAGAGGTTTGTTACCACAGGTTACAGAGCGACCATCAGTGCTCCACATATGGTGAGGGACAAAATATAAGAAGGAATTTTAATTTGAAATTTTATATTTCACATGTAAATATAAAGTTTTTACCGAATTGATATTAATTTATACATACAGTATATGTTGCAAATATATGTATACATATATGTGTATGTATGTCTATTTATATAGCAAATATATATGTATACATATGTGTATGTATGTACAGCATGTATATATATATATATATATGTGTGTATATATATATATATTATTAATTGTTTCCTCTTGTGCTCTTGTCTGACAGCACGCTCATGCCTTAGAGCTGTTAAGTGAAAAATTAACAGAAGGAGCTTCAGCTCTGGATGTGGGTTCTGGTAGTGGGTACCTCACAGCCTGCTTTGCAAGAATGGTCGGTCCTTTGAGATATCAATCTTTATGGATATATTATGTCATTATGTCATTTCAACACATTGTAATTTTTCTCTTGTGTGTTTGTGTGTGTATTTGTAGACAGGACCCAGTGGTAGAGTGGTTGGTATTGAACACATAGATGAACTGGTTAAAATGTCAATAAGGAACGTGCAGACAGATGAGCCTGAACTGCTCTCCTCTGGACGCGTCAGACTTGTGGGTGAGTCCAGCAGTGTTAAAGCTGTAACTGTTTTAATTTAACATTTTACATTACAGCATTTTACTAATCCGTCCTCAGTGGGAGACGGAAGGATGGGCTTCCCAGATGGAGCGCCATATGATGCCATCCATGTTGGTGCAGCTGCACCTACAGTTCCAAAGGCTGTAAGAACACAGGATTTTCACTAAGGAGGAAGAACACGGTCCTTGAAGTGGGTGATCAATTTTTACATTTTTGTGACCTGTGTTTCAGCTTCTGGAGCAGCTAAAGCCAGGGGGCCGGCTGGTTCTCCCAGTGGGCCCTGAAGGTGGCAGTCAGGTGTTGGAGCAGTATGAACGACAGAGTGATGGGACCTTCATTAAGAAAGCTTTGATGGGAGTGGTGTACGTGCCTCTGACAGATAAGAGGCATCAGTGGCCGGGGTAACGTCCAACGACACCTTTGACCTTTCAGCCCTCAGTTATGACTGCTGATTTTACCATCCTCGTATCTTTCCTCAGAGATGAACTCTGACTGCAGTGATGTTGCCCCTGCAGGAGGTGGCGTTGGTGCTGTGTCTCTGGTTCCCCATAACAACTCTCCCTGGTCGCATTGAGCTCCACAACTAACCACCACCTGCCCCACTGTGTTCTCACCCAGCAACAGGAGTGGGGGAGAGAGCGAGGGACAAGTGCAGGGCCAGAGTCCTGACTAACCCAGTGGACAGAGTCAGGTGGAAGACAAATTTGTCTTGGGTGTTGATTCCTCTCACTGTTACTTTGGGGTCGGTGAGTAAAGACGGTAAATTGCACAAGCAGCTAGGAATGCTACTAATGTTTGTGTTTGAATAGGGATGCATTTATATTTATAAATGATATATATGCAAGTTTTTATTCATGATGATAAAAAGGGAGCCTGGAGCTAGACAATGATTAAACTTTATCTACTGAGCATTGTAATTATGTGTTCACCTATTAAATTTGCTATTAAAACCTACTTAGTTGATTGTGTATTTTGTTTTTCAACACAATATAAGAACATACCTGCATTAATCCTATGAAGTAAAATATGCCACTGAATGAGATTAAAACTTAATTTTTGTCATTTCATGTGTTTTGTCGTTGCTATGGTAATCCAAATATTATTTTTCCAAATAATATTTGAGTTACGTTAGCTCAATACCCACGACGTTGACGTGCGCTGACGTCATCAACACGCGCCTCTCTAGGAGAGGACATTTGTTTGAGATGCACGTGAGCTTCAAATGTCTGAATAAACATAGTTTGTTGATTCAGTTATTCTCACGACTTGAACTTGTTGGTCGTGCGGTAAATAAAGAGCAGCGGTGCGTTTCATATCCCGGTGTTGTTCCATCTCCGGGTCGTCTTTTTCCCCTTTCCCGGTACAGCCGCTTTACCATGGCGGAGGCAGCCGCTGCTCCACAGTCACTGTCACCGGTGGCGGAGACAAATACGACGGTGTCCACGCTGATACCCACAGCGGAAAAAGCAGCAGATACCGGTAAACGTAAGAGCAGTGGAGCCGAACCTTCAGGGCGAAGTAAGAGGCGAAGAGGAGCCGGGGGGAAGAAGCTTCCTGCCGGCGAGAGGTACGTCCCTCCTCCGCAGAAACGAAACCCTAGCGTCAGCTTCAGCCAGGAGCATTTCAACGAGACCACCTACTACTACGAAGGTGGTCTTCGTAAAGTCCGACCCTATTACTTTGACTTTAAAACCTACTGCAAAGGCCGCTGGGTGGGGAAGAGTCTGAAGGACGTGTTCGAGAGCGAGTTCAGAGTGGAGTCTATAGAGTACTATGAGGAGGCCGTCAAAGAAGGACGGATCCGACTGAACGACACACCGGTGGATGATCTGTCCGTGGTTCTGAAGGTCAGTGTCAGCAGGGCACCCCAGAGATTTATCATCACTACTAATGCTACTCTAGAAACACTAGAGAGCTTTAAATGGTTCAAAACACACCAGGAAAAACAGTTATTTATCTCCAGAGAAAAGGTTCCTCCCAAGGGTTTTCATGAAGATTGAATACATTGACACTTTTAAAAAATGTTAGCTTGAATTACATTTATTATAGTTTTATTTGTAGGTAGAGATTCAATACAGTAATGGACCCCATCATCCTTAAGCATTTTAAGTATATCACGTGGTCATTTTAAAGGTGAACTTTTCACACAGTAAAAGTTCTGTCATCCTTAAGCATTTTAAGTATATCACTTAGTCATTGTGAATTGTCATTGTGTGAACTTTTCACACAGTAAAAGTTCTTGTGACTTGTGTTGGTTTGGACTGAACAAGAAATGTTTGACCTTGCAAAGAAAAGTTTACTAAATATTACTGTGTTCCAAAAACTGGTTTTGAGAAGTATTCTTACGATTTTGGTACAGTATTTTTACAGTTCATATAAGGCCACACAGTCCATGAAGAAACAGCATCTTTCTCATCGTACATATCGATGCATATAATAAAATGTACTCATTTAACCCAGTGACCTCATGGTACGTCTTTATTTACATATCGATGCATATAATAAAATGTATTTAACCCAGTGATCTCATAACGTCTTTATAGTAATACTGCATATTTAATATACAGTGAATATCATTCTGATTAGTTTTCACACTCTTGCAGATTTCCACAGCGTTAGTTTTAGTTTGTAGCCCTATTTGGGTTTGTCAAATCGGCCGACTTTTTCATTGGTTGATCATTTTCCACCCACTCTCCACAGAACAACGACCTCTTAAAACACACTGTCCACCGCCATGAGCCCCCAGTGGTGGGCAGACCTCTGGAGGTTCTGGTTGATGACGGTGAGGTGCTCGTGGTGGACAAGCCCGCTTCCATCCCAGTTCACCCCTGTGGCCGATTTCGCCACAACTCGGTCATTTTCATACTTGGGAAAGAGCAGGGCATTTCTGAGCTCCACACCGTCCACAGGCTGGACAGGCTGACCTCCGGAGTTCTGCTGTTCGCTAGGACATTGGAGGTGTCGAAGAAACTGGACCAGATGGTCAGAGACAGACAGGTATGTCCCCTGCAGACTGGACTAGTCCTCTTGGTCAACAGGTCATTTTGAAGTATGTGAAAGACGCTGATGTAATTTTTCTTCTCCTAGCTTGAGAAGGAGTATGTGTGCCGAGTGGAGGGGGAGTTTCCAGAGGGTGAGGTGGTCTGCGAGGAGCCCATTCTGGTTACGTCGTTCAAAATTGGCTTCTGTCGCGCGGACCCCAAGGGAAAGGACAGTCGAACCGTCTTCAACAGACTGAGTTTCAACGGCAAAACCAGTGTTGTCCGCTGCTTACCACTGACCGGCCGCACTCACCAGATCAGGGTCCACCTGCAGTACCTGGGCTTTCCCATCCTTAGCGATCCCATCTATGGCTCCTCAGCCTGGGGTCCTCACAGGGGGAAGGGAGGCGTGACGGGAAGGAGTGACGAAGAGCTGCTAAAGGCTCTGATGGAGGAACATCAATCTCAGGAAAGTCTTTTTGTTTCGGACGATGGATTCAGAACAAAAATCAAGTCCTCCGAAAAAGACGAGAAGTCGGGCGTACCATCCAAAGAAGACGTGGGCAGTAAAGGTTGTTCAACACAGTCACCTGAGGTCTGTGGCACAAGCGAGGTGGCAGTAAATGAGACGAGCCAAGGCTCCGCAGACGGTGACGGCACCACAGTGGCGGCAGGTGAGGGACGTTTATCAACAGAATCAAATGGACATCAACCGTCCACCGACTCTAGAGACAATCTGTGCAGTGAATGTAAGCTGCTGAGACCTGATCCCACGGAGAGGGAGCTCATCATGTACCTCCACGCTCTACGCTACAAAGGACCAGACTTTGAATATTCGACACGTTTACCCGACTGGGCCAGAGAAGACTGGGAAGAATCTGATTTAGCTACTGTTAAAAAGTGAAAAAAATGTTTTATTTTGTTTCTTGGATGTTTATGCTGAAGGAAATCTCATTTTATGGTTTTATGCCCAGCAAATTTAAATTAATTTTCATACTTGAGGCCCGGTGTTTTTGTCCAGTTCTCGGAACAAATACTGAAAAGAATCAAGAAGACAAACCTCCAGGGAAATACATATATATTTTATTCGATTCCAGCTCTGTGAAAAAATAAACAGTAATGGCTGTAAATGACAGTTTGTGACCTTTCGTCCACTTTATTGATTTTCATTGTTTCAAAGGCAACTGATTTTGCAGCTTTAGGGTCAAAGGCCAGTAATAATTTCATTTTTTCTTCAAAAGCACTCATCTTCACAGTCACATAAATGTAACATGGTTTTCTTCCTCATGTCAAACTTCCTTGAACAACACAGAACACTCAAAGTCACATGAAATATTCGTATACTCATACATCAGCTGGACGAATCACAAACATCTTTATCAGCTCCTACTGACGGACCGTCGGTTCATGCTGCTCACAAAAATGTTATTGCAAAAGATCTGTGGATGAGGACATACAGTACATGAGCAGAACGTTAATCTGTGTTCAGTGGAGTTTCTCGAAGCAGTGCAGCAGCCAGAATGTACAGTATGTACTTTTGCAATACTGCAGTAGTGATGGTTCCACTACTGCAGCAGAGCTCACAGGCATGTACAGACAGATCCACAGATCCAGGAACAGTTTGCACCATAATCTGTCAACGTTGTAGAAAAAACATGTGGGTTTGACTCTTAGAAACCTTTACTAGCTTTAAAGACATACAATTTAGAGAGAAACGTCTTTTTGGCACTGACACTTGAACAAACGGCAGGACTCTTTAGTTTGACGAGGAAACATTAAATGCAAACTGACTTCACGAAAGACATTTTTGTGATTCTAAAAAATATCAGCGTGTGCTGTACATGTTGCTGTTAGTGCAAAATCAAAGTCTTCTGTAAGTGTGATCAAATTCCCTCCTCACCACATGTCCAAACCATCCAAACCTCTGTCTCTAACTCCATCTCCACCTTAACTGTCCCTTTGATCTGTTCATTTCTAATCCTGTCCATCCTGGTCTTTCAGAATCGTCGTTTCTGCCACCTCCAACTCAACCTTTTGTCTCCTAGACAGAGCTACTGTCTCTAAACCATGCATCATAGCATATCTCACTACTGTCTTTTAAACCTTCCTATTCATTTAAGCTGCTTGCCGGATGTTACCTCGATACTCGTCACCACCCATTCCACTCCCTTTCTTCTCAAACTACGTCTGCTACAGTTTTTATCTTTCCACGTGTCGCACTTCTGTTGAACTTTATTCCCTGTTGCCCTAAAACAAACCCTCACCTTAGATCAGTGGTTCTCAAACTTTTTATACTCTGTACCAGCTCTCTGTAGTACCACCACGGTGACCAACATTAGAATATAGCAGCATAGGCCTTCCCTGTTAGCTTCAACAACACAGGAGATATGTTTATAATGATGGTTATGTTTAATGAAAATATGAATTTCACCCACGTTCCACTAGAGAGCGCTCACGTACCACTGGTGGGTACCACAGTTTGAGAACCACTGCCTTAGATTACTCCTCAAGGTTCTCTTCCACCTGCTCCCCACCCTCCCTACAGATTACAATATCATCTGCAAACATCATGATCCATGGAAAGCAGAACATTTTTCTGTCATTTTTTAGTCATAATCTGAATATCCATGAGTGAATTCTTATACAGAGAAAGGCTGACTTTTAAAAATGGGTGCAATGTAGACGTGCACAAAGCAGATATTCAAATTTAAAATTTGAAAAAAGTGTGTCAGAAATACAAGATCAAAAGTAACCTTGTATGGTCCTTTATTCAATTCTTTAATCTCCTGTGTCTTCTGATGAAGACACAGTGTCAACCAGGAATCCTGAAACTTTTTTCTTTTTAACATGTATCTTCCCGTTTCCCATCTCTCTTTATCCACACATCTGGTAAATCGGGCTTACTGTTGGGTAAAATGACGAGCTCTTCACTCTGACTGCTGCGTCCTTTGGACGTCTCATAAACAGTTTCTTTCAGGGAGAGGCGCAGAGTGTCCCTCTTCCCGTTTAGGTATCCTGGTTGTAACTGAGCGTCTCCTTGGTCTTGCGTGCTGGAGGGTCCTGGATCAATGTCACTGAGGCATGTTTCACAAGACTCCTCCAGACCCTCGCAGGAGCTCTGCGACTGGGAGGGGAGGCGTCCTGTCACAGCGTGGTAGTGGAGACACTCCTCGGAGGTTTGCTCCTCTTTGCAGAGTGAGGGCTGGTCAGTGGTCTCCATCGTGTGGCTGATTATTGTGTCCTGTATACTCGACGATGAAGAGAAGGATGTATTGCCCCAGTCTCTTGCCCCGCTACTCTGACCTCTGCAAGTCTTACACAGCAACTCGTCATCAGCGAAGTCGGCTTGTGCCAACCTGACAGGCCTCAGGGTGTTGTCCCTGTAAGGAGATGAGGTTTGAACGGCCGGAGGTGGTTGGTAGATCTTATGTTGGACATTCTCAGCACTTGTGCCGTTTCTTTCTATATCTTTACCGCAATATTCAATCTCATCAGAGAGGACCGAGGGACGGTTGGACAGTTTACTGGTGCAGGTGCTGTTCTCGAAGCTGTCGCTGAGCCTGTAGGCCAGCGGCTGAAGTTCATACTGTTCTGGTCCCCTGCAAACCCCTTCTCTCCCCCCCATCTGTTTTTGTCGGTGCTGACGCTGGTGAACGGGGTAGAGATATCCACCTGCGTCTTGTTCATAACTCCTCCTCACTCTGGGTCTAGCAAACTCCCCATTTGCTGCAGAGGACAGACCAGGTTCTGCTACCGAGGCTGAGGACAAACTGCCATTGGACTTATCTGGAAAACAAGGAAGAGTGACCTTCCCACAGTTTGTCTTGGGCCCGAAGAAGCAGCACAACGACTGAAAAAAGAAGGTCGCAAAACCGCAGGCCACGCATTTGACCAAGAACAGAAAAATTCCCAGTTTTCTGAACAGGAGAGCTGTAGCCGGTAACATGATGATCCCCATGGAGAAAAAAGCACCGGAAACTATTGCTACAGGGCGAACCATCCGTTTGGTGGAATGTGCTACTTTTCCAATTTTGTCAGAATGAGGAGCCAAGCTGTACGAGATACAGTAGTTAGCAACAAAGTCTACAGACAGTCCTGCAGCCGACGATATCAACAGAGCCTCGATCCCGCTCAGCTGCCACTCCAGAAGAACCAGGAGGCCCACTGTGACGAAAACACTGCCTCCTACTGCTACAGTGCCATAAATGCTCAGAGGGATATTCCAGGTGGTGAGGAGAAGCATAGCTAAGGTGAGAGCTACAGAGAAACCGGCTACAACCAGGGTCTCCGAGCTGAGGGATTGTTGGAGGTCAAACAGAGACAGCTGACTGCTGACCCAGACGTTCTCCAGCCCTTGAGGTGCTCCAAATTGTTCCCTGTTGAACCATGTCAGGATTTCTTTGTAGAAAGTGTTGGTTTTGCTATAGTTGAAGCTGTAGAGGTAGGTGGTTTTGAATTCCAACACTAGGGCAGCAAACCTGCCATCTGGGTGAAAGTACAGGCCTCCAGTGTGGGCCAGATGACCCTCAGAGTACCGCTCTGCCAGCATCATACTGAGGCATTTTTCAAAAACACTGGGAGCGTAAGGAAAAGACAGGTCATTACAGCAGGGACGGAGGTTGTCGTCAGGATCTGAGCAGCGTCTGAGCGACACCCAGTGTATTAGCTGCTCAACCAGGCAGATATTTTCCGTCATCATGTTTCTGTCCTCAGGTGAGGTACGAGAATAAAAGCTTTGGTTCCGGACCCTTCCACACAGGTCCCTTAACCAGATTTGGGCGTCTGCACTACTCATGTTGAAGTGTGGGTCAAGCACCAAAGAACCATTGCTGTTAGGGTCAAAGTGATCCCCGTTATCTGTTGGTTCGATCCCCCAGACCAGTGTCACCATCACAGGCTTGTCCTCTCCATTTCTCTGTCTCTCGAACATGAACATGTGGCGATACTCTGTGTCGTATCGCTCGAATGGGTGACTGGAGCGGAAAAGCTGGGCATCTTTGCTCTCCAGGGTGGGGAGCCTCATGCCTGGGTCGATGCAGGACATGTACATCCCCCCAGCAGCAAGTACGGCGAACCAACACACCCAGATATACCGGAACTTCACCACTCCACAAGGTGCAATTTTGAGGAATAACAAATTTGAAGTGTCACTCAGCCCTCTTTTTAGCTCCCTCAGCTTCTGGCAGAGGGTGAAAAGGCATCTTTTGCGCGAGTTTGTTTCCCAGAATCCACCGGTTTTGGAACAGCAAGGTTTCCAGCCCTGCACGGCTACAGATACGGAGGAAGTCGCAGAGTAGCGTTCCCGCAGAACAAAAGAGCAAGGCAGCCACACGAGAGACAGGAGGGAACTGATCAAAGAGGAGGTCCCAAGATACACGGAGAAACATCTGACAGCTGTGATGCTGCTGAGATAGCCGGAGAAAAACGCTGCGCTGGAAGTCAACCCTGATGCTAAAATAAAATAGCCCACTTCCTGTACTGCTCTGTGCACCCTCTTCTCCAAGACGGCAGGTGGCTTTTGTGACAGCTGCAAATTCCATAAATCTGCAAAGATGAAAACTTGGTTTGAGCAGCTTCCCAGGAGAACCAGAGCTGCTGTGAGGTTGGCCAAGGGGAAGAACGTGAGACGAAAGACCACTTTGTAGAAGAAATAGGAAGTCAGGAGGGACCCAGTGGTTGCTATTACAGACAATGCCACTATGAAGAGAGAGTGGAGATAAAAAAACATGGTCAGAAGAAGACAGAAAACAGCTAAGGCAGGGAAGATCGAGTCTCTTGCAAGATAGTGTTTAAACAGCGTCAGCTTGATGCCAAAATCCATTCCAGTGACAATTGTATTATTGTAGTTGAGCTCCCTGCCTTCAAGACTCTTCATATATATCTCCATGGTGCGCTCCCCTTTGGTGACAGGTAAGAACAGGAGGCTGTACTTCAGTGTGGGGATTTGGTATTCAACAGTCTGGGGGCCAAGGAAGTCTTTATCCACCAGAAAGTGCAGGATCTGGAACACCATGCGTGACTGTTTGCAGCGAGTTGGAACCGAGGAGCAGGCGCCGTGTTCTGGTCTGTCCACACAGGCTTCCACTAGATGGCCCTGGTGATAGTGTGGAGCACACCTCCGTAGAAGGCTCAGAGAGCCCGAAACCTGTCAGGGAATCAAAGAAGGTTTAGAAAAAATATGCATTACGATGAGGAGATTATCGAGGACATAACCAACTGGAATGCTAATGTACCTGATGAGATGTAAGGCTGAGGCAGCAGGAAGCATTCATAAGCACAGCAAGGTAATTCCCCAGGGACCAGCTTGGGCAACAGCCGCTTCTGGACATTCCCTCTGTCTCCGTCCTCACGTGCTGCTGGCACATGTCCTGGAACTGAGCCTGGGAGCGGATCTGAAACAGATAAAATACTGGATAAAGTTCTGGGAGAAGTTGTATTAATGTGAACTGAGCCTGGGAGCGGATCTGAAACAGACAAAATAATTCAGCTTCCACTGGATAAAGTTCTGAGAGAAGTTGTATTAATGTGAAAAAAACAATGAGGTCGTCAGAGCGTAGGTGCAGAGAAGGACGTAGGACTAAAAGGGACAAAAGATCAGAGCTAACCCTGGATTGTTCCATCTCACACATGGCGTGGATGGCCTCCAGGCTCCAGAGACTCGCAGAGTTTTCAGATCGGAACACCAGCTGGGCCAAATGTGCGCCTGCGTGGAAACGGACAGATGGATTGACTTTCAGAAACAAGACGACCAGCAGTGAATCATTGACTCGTGATTTATCTGCTGCCATGACATGAGTGTTTGTGGAGGGTGAAATTAATCAAGGAAAAAGAAGACTAATAACACATTTGTTATATTTATTCAAAATTCAAATCTTCAATGACATGCCTGGGGAAAAGAACAGAAAAAATATTTTTCAAGCCACAATAGATCAGTTCCCGATCCCTTTGTTGTTGTTGGATCTGTATTGTTATTGTGCTGTTTTGTCTGTTATTTTGCTGGTTCTGCAGATGCTTTGTATTCTAAACAGTTTTGAGTACTGTATGTGAATGTAGTTTTTAAAAAAGTATATTTATATTTTATCTCTAAAAAAACAAATAATTAAAACACTGGATTCAGTAAAGCGATGAGGTATGGATTAACCATTTGTGAAGTGACTTACCTGGAGCGTCACACAGGAAAGTGTTTGGGTAAAGATCCCTGGCCAGCATCCTCCTGACGCGGAGTCTGGAGGTGTTTCTCTCATCACTGCTGTCTCTGTTGATGAAAGGCCCATAAATTAGGTTATGGGTTAAAAAAAAGGACATGCAGCGCTTCAATGTAATTAGTATTTATTTACACACGTTTTTTTAAATTCAACAATCAGGTTTGGAAGAATTTATATTTATTTAAGCTATGATCAAGAACCAAAGAATTGGTTTTATTTTATTTCTTTTTGCCTTTTTTATATTTCTTTGCTTGAAATGTCTTTTATCATTGATCATTATCATTGTTGATATCATCTTAGCTTCAGTGCTGTAAAATGTTCCTATAAATAAAAGGAAAACATTTATAATTATAAATCAATAAATAGTAAAGGTGAATGTAATTAATTAGCACTAATTTGTTGATGAAGTTGAATCTTTTTTATTGCTATATATAATATAATATAATATAATATAATATAATATAATATAATATAATATAATATAATATAATATAACAGGCCATAGGAAATGTGCCTTGTGTATTTGCATTATATTACATATAATTATTTTGTCTAATTTTATGGAAGTAGGTAAAATATTTCTACATGGAAATAAATACAAGTGGAAACTACAGTAGGTTCAGTAGGTGGCAGTAATGCTATGCAAAAATAAATGGCATGACAAAAAAAACTGCCATGTAGCCCACAGAAGAAGACGGTTAGCATGATTAGCTTAGCCTAGCTGAGCCCCATTACTGAGTTTTGTAAGTAAGTCATAAAGATGTTTTCTCAGTCACAGAACAAACTTTTATCATTCCCTGGGTTGAGAGTGCACATGTAATGTTTCTTTTTCTAATTTGTGTTGTGAGTTTTAACCACATGTACAGGTAGAGTAGCTAGAGTTACTGTTATATCACGGCCTGAGTCTCAGTTAGCCTAATAATGCTAACCTTGTGCTGAGCTGCTGTGGTAGAGGAGACAGAGCTTTTCCTGGGCCCGTGTTCTCTCGCAGCTTGGACAGGCTGGACTGACGAACTCCAATGTAGGTTCCCCGTGGCTCGAAACCCTGTTTAGATGGTATGACTACACACATTCACACACACACACACACACACACACATCCATATTAAAACTATTATTAGCTACTTGTTGCAGTTACACGTTGCAGTATTGACGCACTTTCCCCCCCTTTTTGCCCTTTACGATACGACATGCTCATCAAACACAGGAGGGTGTAGTTAATCAGGATGACGTAAATGTGTGTTCTAATATAGAGCAGTTCAGTGAATCAGAGATGAGACTGTGTTAAATGATACGCCTGAGCTCCTGAGTCATTAGGGAAACAGTAATTATTTAACGCTGAGCCACCCAGGTGGTGAGAGAGGGAGACGATCACATTAGAAAGATTGACAGCTCAGATGAAGACCTTCATATTTCATCGAACGGAATATCTGAACATTGCTTTGGCAATAAGTTAGATAAGATTGCTTGTTCGTAAGATTGATAGATAAGATGTAAGATTTTGAAAACAGCCATTTTGAAAACCATTAAAGACCAAACACTGAATCACGGTCACTTACAGTTGAAATCCATCAAATTCTTTATTCCTTTTTTCTTTTCTTTTTTGTAGTTTTAAGATAAGAAATATACGGAAACGTATTGCTGCCACACTGAGAAAAGAAATTATCTCAGTATCACGTAATAACGATAACAATAACTTTCACGTTATTTCGTGATTATGTGATACGGAGCCAATTTTTTTTTCTCAGCGTGGCAGCAATACGTTTCTGTGGAAATATGAAATAGGTGTAAACACAATGGAAGGTTGTGTGTAGAATTTACCTGCAGTGGATCAGAAAAGTCAGGGAGGGGGCCGATGAGGAGTCCTGCCACTGAGCAGCCCAGTAAGAGTACAGCACAGCCCACCAACAGAGCTAAAGGATGGTCTGCTATCACCTGGGAATAACTGAAGGGAAAAAAATGTTGGTCATGCATTTTTTTCGTTTAATTAATTTGTTTACCTTTTAAACTAAATTCTTAAATACACATTAAACTACACTTTGTACATTGTACCTTTTACTATGATACCAATAATAATAATGTTAATATTGGCTGATACTGTATCAGTTGACAGAGATGATAAATATATCCATCAGTTTCAGGGTCTTACAGTGAGAGCTGTGTCTATACTAACCTTCTAAGGATGTAGTAAAGTCCACCGTCCCTGTAATACAACAGGTCATGTTAATGAAGATCCACACAGTAAATGAAAACGTGGGTAAATAGATTATTAATTTGATTATTTCTGCTCTTTTAAACACACCTAACTGTGACCACATGTCTCTGCGTCGCCTTGTGCGTCCTGCCGTCATGTGATCCGTGCAGCCAGTGGCACCGTGCGTCGCCGTGACGTGACACCTGATGAGCAGAACTGCAGCTGTGTCCCACCTTTACTGCAGCGCCTCTATCCGGGTGAGGATCTGTTGTATTCAAATGATACCCGTGGCCCTGGTTTGGTCTGAGTGACCCGCGGCAGCTACAGTGGGGGCATTTTAGTGGCTGTGGAGAGTCATAGGCACCGAGTCGGGGCCCCTGCAGAACCATGGGAAGAAGACACAGCTAAATAATATTTAAGAAAAAAAAAAGTACTTCCTAAAAAGTAAGGACACCTGCTATGAAATAAGACAGTTTTATAAGGAGAGAACGTGATGGACGTGATGGAGACCGTGGTGAAGTTGTGTTGGTTTGCAGAGATAGAGGTGAGTGGGAGTTTGGATCTGGTGAAGGATGTGATCCCCCGTGGGGACATCTGGTGGTATTCAGCCAAAAGTAGAAGACCAGTCAGTGCTCAGACCTACTTGAAAGAGTTGACAGGAGGACGAGGGTCTGCCCAGGCTGCTGCAGCTGTCACACAGCTCGCCGTCTGACTGGAGGACCCTCAGAGGACTCTCGGCAGAGCACACACTGTCAGGGGGGCACAGGGAAACAGCTGGGATGTCACTGAGGAGAAGAGAGGAGAGAAGAAGAGGTTGTTTTCTGTTTTCTGAATTCTTTCACTACGCAAATTCAACAACAATCCACATCCAGTTGTTATTATTTGTGGCAGAAATCTGAAAGTAAACATTAATTCTCTTTTCTATCCTAGACGTTGTCTAATCCTGGACGTTGTCTAATGACAAAATTAAAAAGTTTCATTAGAAAAAAAACCAAAGCAATCTCTTAAGAACCACCACCTCATCCACTCTGCTGCCAGCTGCAGCCTGATGGTGAGAAGTCAGCTGAAAGGTCAGCTGTCATAAACGACCGAAGCCCTTAAAAGACGGCGCCATTACTTAAAATGATCATTTAGTGCCTCCTTGAATTCAGTACAGTTTTCAAACTATGGCACGTGTGCCAATGGTGGTACTTGTTATATAATCTAATATACAGTATATAGTCTTGTTTCTCCTGTGTGTACATGTGCTTTTAAATTTGAATTTAAGTGTGAGTTCTGTCACTACTCCACTCTACACCACAGTGTGGCGCTGGCTGAAAATCTGAGGAGAAATAAATTCTGTGTTGCTGTGTTTTAATATTGGTCATGCTGGTGTTACTTGCAGAGTCATATATTGTTGTTGTTAATTAGGCATTGTCGGATATTATATTATTGTCGGATATAATATGCCGATATGGTCCAAATGCTTAATTTCCGATTCCGATATCAACCGATACTGATATAGGCCTGGTAATATTGAATGATTTATCGGTACAAACCACTGTATGAGAATGAGATTAAGCAAATGAGCTGCAATGCTGCCATCTAGTGACTTTCACTTTAATATGCAGCCGTTTATCCCCTAAACTATTTTTAGGACACAGACATAGGCATTGCGTTATCAGGTTTTCGTTATAGAAGGAAAAACAGGAAATATTAGGCGGATAATATCGGTTTGCCGGACTTTCCTATTGTTAATAAATATTTCAGGAAATTTTATATATATGTGTATATATATATATATATTTATTTTTATAAATATATATATATATATATAACAATGGCAAAAGAAACAGGCTTTAAACGGAGTCACCTTGAGGTAATTTAAAAATCTTAGTCTTACTATCTGTATATTTATATATTTCTTTTTAACTATAGCTATAATGTTTTATGACTTTTGCCCTAACAGTAGACACAGAACTCTGCTTCAGTTGTCTTAGTGAGCTGGACCGTGACTGCTGTGTAGTCTACCACATGCTTGTTTTTCCACAGTGGACCAAACTCAGCAGCACTTCCTGTCTTGTCACCATAGCAGCGTAGTAAGTCAACAGAGGCGGCAAGACCTCATATTGTTTTAAAATCCTTCTATAATGAGACAGGTGATGATCTCGCTCTCCCTGTGGTAAAGTTACAATAGTTTTTGTTACGTTGCAATAAAATGGAAACAAATATCTAAATCAATAAATAGTTCAACATTTTTTCATTCACTGATTTTCGTTATATATTTTATATATACAGTATATATTATATTTTAATATGATATATATGCATACATATATTCTATTAAAATATATAATATATATGAATAAATATATTAAAACATATACAGTATAAGTGGAAGTCAGGCTAACGTACACCAGCTTAACTTCAACATGGATTTAAATGGGAGTTTAATGCAGCTGTAAATGTTCACTAAACCTTTATATAGACACTCTGTGACCTGTGCTGTGTCCTCACATCATGAAACTGAGTCTATTTTTTTTCATAATGCTGGGTATCACACACACACACGCGGAAGGATATAAAAAAAAACTGTGGAGAGTCATCAATAATTCACCGGACGAATACAAAAATAAATCCTGGGAAGGTGTCGCTGAGCTGCTCCACTCACACAGGCATCAGGCACCGATGTCAGGATAGCCTCGTAAATCTGCTCTAACAAGGAAAAACAAAAAGCACGAGCTGAAGCCCGGGCTGATCTCATCTCTTTTTATAGACATTCAGATTCAGATCAATGTCTGAGGAACAATTATAGATGGGTTGAAATCCATAGTCTGCAGACAATAGATGATAAAATATGGAACATTGGAACATAGTGGAAGTACACATCAATGATGGTCACAAATAGCTAGCTAGATAGCTACAAGTTGGCCGCAAAGACAAGTTCACATTAAAAAAAATCTATGGAAATACATTTCTAATTTTAATGCCAAACCAAACCCATCTGTGTTCTACTGGCCAGACTGAAACCATTAATGCCAAACCAAACCCATCTGTGTTCTACTGGCCAGACTTAAAAACATTTGTGACGTGGCTGGACATGCAGCTAGCATTAGCTGTTGTGATTTTTAGCTATCCGTTGTTGTTGTAATTTACCTGTGGTTTTAGCTGGATTTAATCAGTGGTGAAATGCACAACAGTAAATGTGGGTTGTGTGTTTAAATGACTGGCACAAAGGAGACGCTCTAAATGTCTTTGACACCCGAGCCGAGCATCTTTTCTCCTGCCTTCGGGCTCCTGTCTTTCACGCTGGGCGAGTGTCAGACGCTAGAACATTCACTTTACTGCCGATCAAAACCCTAATCAAACAGGACTAAGGCTTAGTCTGTCTGCACTGTCTTTCACGCTGGGCGAGTGTCAGATGCTAGAACATTCACTTTACTGAAGACTGTTAACGTCCTTAATACCCTGGTCTGGTTTTAGGCAAGTGTAATGAAAGGGGAAACAAATGTACCCTGGTGGTGGTTGGAGATAACTGCGTCCAGAAAAACTTTCATTTTTATGGCATAAAACATTCATGATTCATTCAACAACATTAGTTTAAAAATATCCTTGTTATGGTGCATTTACTATTGACATTAAGTTAAAAAAATACTGCTAATTACTCACCAATTATTGCGTTTCTCAATAACTAAATAGGTTGTCTTTTTTTTTTACTTTTTAAATTTTTTATTCTCTATTGTTTTTTAATATGCTTCTTCATTTTTTTCTAAGAAAATATTCTCCACAAAGCGTTTTTAAATTTTTTAAGTTAGGCTACCGTTGCCAACTGGAAAAGTTCCAACAACTGACCTGCACCGTTTAATATTTGTCTGTGGACTGCTGTCCCATCTGTCGTGTGAGACACAGCTCATGGTGACCATGGCAGAAGCCTGGTGACACTGAACAGGCCACAGCTCCTGAGTCAACAGTAGTGTGATGTCATGTGTGATGTCATGCTCACTGTCTGTTACATATCAACATAAAATCCCTGCGGCTGCAAAAACACATCAGATACTGACAAACTGCCTGATGGAGGCGGCAAAAACATTAATGTCATTACTGAACATTGACATTAAGAAGTTAGACGTTAACAACATCAGAGTATTTTTGTTATAAATAAATCATAAAGGTAGAAATAATCAGTTAAAAATGATAAAATGATAGCGTTTATTACACAATTTGCATAAAGTACTACAAAGATCATACACTGTACTCTGTCCTACTGTCACAGAGTATCACTGCATAGTAATCACAGTACGCACATCTCTCTTCTACTGTAGATGTCGTGTGTTTGCAGCGAGCTGACATCAGGTTATACAGTAAAATACAGTAAATGAAACAGAGGTAATGAAATAAAACCCCACCTCTGACAGCCATCCTGCATCCCCCTCTCATCTGTGGGAGAATCGTCCATCACTATCGCATCCGTGCTTTCTCCGATTCTGGAGCCAGCCTCCATTTCTCTTCTCGAGGCGAAAAATAGAAATAAAAATAAAATCGGTCGAAACAACGATCGTATCGGTTTATTTTGCCGCCAAAGAGCCCTCCATAACGACAGTGAAGAGCAGAGGACCGAGAAGGAGGCTTGTTTTCTAAGGATGTTACTCCACGACAGCACCGGGACTGTTGGGGTTAATCTGCCCTGCTCTGATTGGCGGAGCCGCGGTGATGCTGAGGCCGCTGCCTGGTTCTCTGTCCAACCGCTGCCGACCTGAGGCTTGACTGCTTTCTGATGGAGCCCCCACCTGACGCCGAGCTGACAATGATACGGCGATCGGTCACACAACACGGCGACCAAAATGAAATTAAAGTCAATGGTGACATAACGGGATCTGTATGTTATTTAAGACAATTTTATCTAAAGTAACGGTCTGTTTCTATCTGCAAAACTAATGTTTAGTAATTTCTGAGATTATTTGTAATTTTGTTGTATTACTATTATCTAGATTAGAGGTCTTCAACAGAGGGTGCGCAGCCTCCAGATGGTCCGCCGGAGTACTTCAGGGTGGTCTTGTGGTGATTAGACAATTATTTTATATTCTATTCCTAAATTATGTCATATATTCATAATAATGTGTATTATGAAGATTTTATATTGTATTTTCAAATGCTTCAAATAAAAAATAAAATAGGAAAAATATTTGACCAATTATATTTGAATACATCTAAACTAACCCACCAACTAGCTAACTCACTTAAATTATTTTTAGCTAATGTTTAGCTTTTATCTTTTCCTGATTTTCCTTATACTTTTTCATTGTCATTTTTAGCTAATAAGACAGCTTGGCTTACAGCTTGTCTTGATTACTAAAACACTGACATTTAACCGGTGCACTGAGTGGTGGCTAATAGAAAGCCGTTAGCATCTGGTAATGGTTAACGTGCTTCCTTACTGCACAGCCAAATAGAAAGAACAAACCAGGACGTGTTTTCAAAACCTGGCAACCCAGGCATTACACTTCTCTGTGATGGAACGGAGCTAATTATTAATTAACTGGGAACAAAGGAGTCGTGGGTGCAAACGAGTTGTTTCCACATGACTGGACTGCAACAGTGACAATGTTTCTTTTACTTTTTGAAAATGTTTAAAATGGTGTTTGCTCACCGTTCATACAAAAAGTTGGTTCGATTTAAGTGGGAGAAACACTTTTTTCTTCATTACACAAGGGTCTCAAACTCCTGGCCTGCAGTCCACTTCTGGCCCGCACAACACAAGGGTCTCAAACTCCTGGCCTGCGGTCCACTTCTGGCCCACCAACCTCCCACATCTGGCCCGCACCGATGTCAATAATGCCTCAGTTCTTTACTGAGGGTTAATGGCTACGGAGGGATGATTTGATGAAGGGATTTGATGAACTGATAAAATACCTGGACACACAAGTGTTCAATTTGAAATGTACTCGAGGGTTAAGTAAACGTATGAGACAAATGTTTTTGTTGTAGTAACTGAGAAAATCAGAGCAGAAAGGATTTTGTACTGACTAACTAAACTGAATACACACGTCTGCATTTTGTTAGTTGAAAGCAGAAGTGGCGTCATGTGCCTGGTCTCTGCAGAAGTGACTTTCTGTATTGTTGTCACATACAGTATTTAAAACAAACCAACTGAAAGAGTTTTTTTTTTTTTTGCATTGACATGGCCCTCCAATGACATGATGATTACAGTAATGCCCCCCCACTCATATGAGTTTGAGACCACTGTCATAACAAATAGTTATTTTGTTGTATTCCAAACTTGAAGTGTAACAGTCATTGGTGACAGTTGCCTGATTTAGGTCTAGCCGTGTTAAAACAAAACAATTGTTTGAAAAGACCTAGCCTTTGATGGGTGCTCTTATTATGCTTTTCCTTTATACATAAATCAGTATAACCCAAACAGTTGACCCACTATTTTAGGAACATAACAATATGAGGAACTTCAGAATAAAAGATGTTTTCAGTTGAACGTTTCACCCAACATTTTTGTCAATGTTGTTAGATTGGTTCAAATGAAGCACAAATGTTAGTTTTAACTCCGTTTTCCACCTTTTATAGAAACTGTGTTCTTTATACATCAGTAAGTAACTTGTGTTTTTCATTCACACTTCATTTGTTATAATGAACTGAAGTTCAATTTTAAACATTGAGCCAAAACATAAATCCTCTCAGGGTAAATTACAGCCCCCTACCCTTTTTGATTTGTTGCCATTCCCTGCATATAGCGAGACTCACAAATCAGTTTTAAGCTTTTGGCCACAAGATGAGAACTCTGCCAAGGAAAGATCATCAGGGAGCTTTTAAAAAATTATACTGCTTTATTCTTCTTCTTCTGAGAACTTTGTAGTTTGCAATGGAAAAAAATGCTTTAAAAAAAGACATGGTTCAACAAGTTTAAGTAAACAGGTTTTTTTAGGTTACCACTTGGTAAAAAAGGGACAAATGGCAGGAGAAGTAAAATAATGGGGTCTTGATTAGGAAGCGGAAGAGAGTAGAGCCAGACGGCTTAGAAGAAAGGAGACCATGTGACTCATCAGACCAGTGAGTCTCTGTAATGTGGCAGCCTCTGGTCTGTGTCTGGTTATAAATATGAATCATGACACCAGACCTCCGCACTGAGAGACCACTTTGGAAAAAATATCTTATTTATTGGAACTTTCTTCCAATAAATAAGATCAAGAAATTAAAAAGATCAAGAAAAAAAGTGTAGTGTGAGAAAGTCTTTAGAAAAAAATTAAAATCTATATCTGGTCGTTAACACAGAACAAGACAGAGACAGCGAAGAGGATCATGCAGTTTTAGACAGTCAGTAATGTAGCCTCATATGTTGTAATGGTCCGTTGAGTCATGTTGTTAAAAACATCTGGAGAACTCAGAGAAAGACCCTCATGTTTAGACCCTTACCATCTTATTACGGCTAATATTATAAGGCCTTAAATGCTGGGGTTCCACACCAATGACAGAGACATTGCCTCTGGGCCAAAGCGCCACTGGCTAATATTATAAGGCCTTAAATGAAACTTGTAAACTAATAGTAAAATAGCAAATATGTGAAAAAGAATCAACCAATAGGAGCAGTGCAGGTGATGAAACCACTGCTGCAGCTCTCACATGAACAGAAACATCAACATTTTATTTTTATTTTAGTTATTGAATTAAATGCTCTTATCGCCAGAGTACATGGAATTTTGAAGTATAATTCAAAAGGAATACACTCCTGTAACACTTGCTTACTATAAACAACAAATAAAAAACAACACTGGTATACATACTATACATACGAAAATACTGTGATAAAATGCAAGTAATCATCAATAAAATTCTAAATTATTGCCAGCATCAAAAAGTTGTTATGATTCAACAAAACAAAACAAAAAATAACAAAAGGACATTGTTTGTTGTTATGTGCATACTTGCTTTTAATTGAAAGAAAAGATTCATTGTGATAAATCACAGTTCTAAATAATTCCCCAGCACTACAAATAATTTAAAAAAAATCAATCTAAAATTTCAACACATCCCAGCAGTACCTCCCTGTTAAGGACATCTGATACAGGGCACGGGTTAAAGGCAGGTATGAAGGGGCCCCTCTACCTTCTTTCACGCCTCCTGGCGCACCCATCTGGCTTTGAAACGCCCCTGCAACCAAATACCTGTACGTCTCCTCTGGGGTTTTTTGTGCTTCTGAACTCACCAGAGAGGCGTGTAACAAGAAAGAACGATTCATCTGGAGGAATTTCTGAGAAAATGTAAATTTGAAATAGTTTTCTGGACCTTCAGAGTGCACCGGAAGGGTACCGGCGGTTCTGAAGAGGCAGCAAAGACCGGGCGGGACCTGGTTCTACGAATGTTTCACTGTGGAAGTGCTGCAAGGTGGAAGGACATAACCGGACCAAATGAGTCAGAAACTGGACCTGGTGGTTCGTTACTGTTTCTTGGACTGTCTCCTCACCCGGAGTAAAAACTCGTTCTCGGGGTAAATAGGAGCATATGACTCCGAGAACGTTGGTTACAAACTTTATTCACAGAAAAGTGAGTCATCGGTGGGAGCAGCTCCATTCACCGCTCAGGACACGGAAGCAACAGGTAAAGAATCTGGTCTTCTTGTCAATCACTCACTCTCTTCGTTCGTTAGTAAGTTAATCAGTCAGCTAGTTAGTTAGTTAGTGACGGTAGCTTGGGGAAATGGGGAACGTAAACATCTTCCAGAGAAGGACGAGTGAGTATGAGGAGCGGACGAGAAACACTGACAACATTCCAGAAATTTCTGTGATTGAAGCCTCTCCCAAACCTGCAGAGGACTCTGTGTTCCAGCTGCCTGGGCCTGTAAACAGTAGTAGAACAGGCCAGGAACCTGGCACTTCTGATGGACTCAGTCCCACTGACACTCTGGAGCTCCAGCAGAGCCCGCCATCATTGAGACAGAGGCAATCCCAGCACGGACCCACTCAGCCTGGGCCAGACTGTGCGGAGGATGAGGAACGGTTGGAGACGGCCAGTCTCACTGGAAGTGATGGTAGTCACACCCCCATAGGCAGCCGCGAACACTTCCTTCAGGTCATGATGGACTCTTCCCCTCAAGTGCGGAGAAGCCTGGTCCACCGCAGGTCGTTTCAACTGTCCTCCAAAGGGGACAGTGACTCTATTTCCCAGGTGTCCTACAACCTGGATGAAGACAGGACCGCTATCACTCTGGAGCCACTGGAGCATGAGTGGATGATGTGTGCTTCAGATGGTAATTGGGACAGTTTGCAACGCCTTCTTAGAGAAGAACCCAGCTTTGTCACCAGGAAAGATTTTATCACCGGGTTCACTTGCCTGCACTGGGCCGCTAAGTATGGCAACCCTGATCTCATGGCACTGATCATTAACTTTGCCAAGCAACACAATGTTCCAGTGAGCGTTGATGTTCAGTCAAATGCTGGCTACACGCCGCTGCACCTGGCTGCCATGCACAACCACATGGAGGTGGTGAAGCTTCTGGTTGGAGCTTACGATGCTGATGTGGAGGTCAGAGACTTCAGTGGGAGGAAGGCCAACCATTATATCACCGACAGCTCCAGTGATATTAGGGACATCATTGGAACATATGAGCAGACAAACTCTGACAGATCAGGGAGCTGCAGGGACAGGGGGCACTGGAGATTCTCCAAGCCTCTCCTCCCTAATGTAAAAAACTTAAGGCTCCTGAATCCAGGTAATTGGGACTCTGCGAGTGTCGACGGCAGAAATGGAGAGAAGATACGTCGGAGGACGTCTTCCCTCCGACTGATGAATCTCGGACTGCAAAGACTGCGCTCTAGGACTTCACAGATCATCCACAACACAGAGTTGGGTTTCGACTGATGATGATTATAATTCAGTGCCAGGACTAAATGTTTTGAATGAGATCTTTGGATTAAACTGTAATCAGTTACAATTTAAATAGTTGGAGTATGACATCCAGAGGTCAGTGATAACCAACAAAACCTGCTGTGTAAAGTTCTCAGTACAGACTGTCACAGTTGACATGGCTTGTGTTTACCTCAGACACTAGTAAACACACATGCACAAACACACAGACACACACATAATGAGAGGGTGAACAAAGGGAGGGGGGGGGGGGGGTCCGGAATCTGGCTGGTACTGAGGTGACAGCCATGGTAATTTCCTGTGGCAGATTTCTGGGAAAGGCATCATTAAAGCTGCACTTCTGCCCACAGCTCTGAGAAAAACTGTTACATAAAAACACAGCAGCACTCTACACTATGTGGAAGCAGTGGGAAAATGATTGTGTTTTTGTGACACTGTTTTAGAAAATGTTTTATCTTGAATGTCCAATGTGCCCCCTGCACCCTCCACTATATACTTAATTAACTTCTTTTTTTTGTCCTTAATTTCTTTTGTGTATCCTTTTGCAAAATTAAAGACTAATTGTTAGGTAATGTTTCTTTATATGACAGCCATTGTTTGTATTTATTTTGTCTTTTTTAATATTTCTCTTACCTTTTACATATTGCTCTAGCTACATTTAGACGTTTCATGGCTAACATAAACTCTTTAGCCATTTTGGCTTTTAATATGTAAATATGTTACATGCTGCTTTCAAAATGTTCCTTTACTAATTTTTTGTGTCATAAATGATTCATGTGACGGAGGGATAGAAAATGGTGCTTACAGATGACTTGGATTAAAACAGCAACATTTTATAAACTCTATTTAAAAAAAAATCCCTGTGTTTACTGTAAGTCAGACTCCAGGTGGAACATTAAAATACACAACAATAGAATGCCCTCCTTATGTGTAACTGTTAAGAGGAGGAGTTAGTTAGGTATTTTTCACATGATTCAATCTAGGTTTCATTGTAGGTAAGCAGGTAAAAGGGTGTTTTGGTGCCCCCTGTTGGACAGATTATGCAGGTGGTAACTGTTTCACACTGCTTCTGAATTCAATGAATAATGCATTTAAAACAAATAAGTAAAAATAATGTCGTATCACATTACATCAGGTATTTTCACTGTAAAAAATATGTGAAATTATTTGACCGACATTTAATGTATGTAGCCTGACCTAAATAATAAATTAATAAAAAAGAAAATAATAATTTTCACAGAGCTTTGGAACAGCCTTTCTCAAAGAAGGACCACTAGTCTTTTACACCTCCTAATGTTAATTTGTAAAATAAATATTCTTAAAAATATATATTTTGAATCAGTGTCTCCTAAACGGGGCAGCTTGTGACCTCGCAGTTAAAAGATCAGGCATGTGACTTGTTAGTTGCCAGTTTGCACAACAATCAACAACAACATAAAAAGGAAAAGTACACTCAGTAGCTGTGGTAAAGTGTTGCTGGAGGAAAACTTTTGTTGTGTATAAATGTACATGTATATGTACAGTGCTGCCTTTACTTGTTTTTAAATGGTGTTTATAAGTGACCTTATAGTTCATCAGAGTAGCATCAATTGAACAATAAATTTGGCTGTAATTATTTAAGAAACGCCGCTTTTTTAAAACTAAATCAGCTATACCATAATACCAAAACCATGGTATGCTTTACTGTCAGATTTAGGATTTCATCTCTGCTTCATGTTTACACAGTGGTACAGGATTAATAAATAGCAACACCTAACTTCACCACAAGATGCTGCTAAAACCTTCATATCGTGCCTTGTATTAGCCAGCACAGGCGTTATATTACTGCGTCTATATTTTAGACACAATGGTAGCAGAAATTAATGGGGGACGGGGGACGGGGACGGGGGGTTGGGTTCTAGATAAAGACGTGAATACAGAGCATTATCAGTACTAGAGTTTATTCATTAGCCCAGATGAGCCGCGGGGGGCGCTTTAAACATGCGGATTGAGTGACAACATGAGGTCAAGCTCTCCTGCGAAGCCGCTCAGCGGGTGTAAAGTTACGAGCGCACAGGACACACCTCCAGGGGGAGTTCCGTGGGAGGTGGAAACAAGGAGCCGAGAAGCGCTTCTGCTGCAGAAAAGTTAGAAGAGAGGAGAGACGAGGGGAAGAGAAGAGGGGGACAGAACAGAACTGGGAGCGGAGAGAAGAGGAGTGCAGTCTGCAGCGGCTGAGGGAGAAAAATGCCCGAGATGGGCAACTCTTTACGCGCGGCTGCCCTGCTGGCGTTCGTGGTTCTCTCCATTCTGGTGTCACTGTTGATCAGCAGTGTGCAGCAGTTTGGAGCCAGAATATCGCACTTTTCTAATTCAACGTCTTCCCCAGAAGCTGGTGATGAAGAGGAGCTCCACAGAGCCTTGATCCAGCAACTCAGCCAGAGACGCAGAGAGATCCTTCCCCTCCTTTTACCTCGCCAGGGTGACCGTAATAATAAGGACAGGAGTCCACTTCATCCAGAGCTCGATCTGAGTGTGGATTATAATCTGTGGAATGAGATCACGCATGGCTCCAGGAGAACGCACATGGATGAAATGGGCTGTGATTCTCTGGTGGACATGCATGCGGTGGAGATCCTTGGCTCTGGATACACCAAGCTGGTTGTCAAAGTCAACCTGGCCGGAGGTCAGCCTGTGGCCCTGAAGCTGGTCAACGAGCAGGGCATAGACATGGGCAAGTGTGTGGAGGATTTTAAAGACCCCCAGGGCTGCAGGGAGCTGGTGTCTTACAAGCTGCAGAAGGAGATGGTGCTGCTGCAGAGGCTGAGGCATCCAAATGTCATCAAGGTAAAGTCTTTGTCTGCTGCTTCTGTGTGTGAAACAGACTGTTTATCCACCTGCCTATTTTGTAGTGTCGAACCTCGGCAGTTACAGCAATAGATATAAAAGGTTTTACACTTAAGGCAATGTCATTTGAATTTAAAATGTTTAAATATTGCCCTCCGTAAGTATATTTCACTTAAAAGAGTCAGTAGCACAACATATGGATCTATATGGGTAGATTTACATGTGTACATACTGTACATTCTTTTGTAAATTAGGGAGCGGTTGTGTTAAATAAATAACAGTCAGTACAGAACTACCGTCGATATGGCTGTGACAGGAATTTGCTGCTTTGCACCGAGCTAAATTAGCTTTGAGGATGAAAACAAAACCATTTAAGCTCACTTACAAATATCGTACTTCCTTATGTAGTCAGCACAAACCAGCGGGGCGTGTCTATGTAGTTATATTGAAGAAGTTTGAGATAAAATTAAAATGAGGTCGCGCTCGTAAACGCACCACAACAAATCCAAACAACTTATATAGACTTGGTGATGGTTATAAACTACAAAACTATACATGCGTAGTTATAATTTTAAAAACATTTTATTTACACTTTATTGACAATAATTTTAGAGATCAAACATAACATAAAAAACTAGAGATACAAAATGAAAAACTCGAACAGTTTAGAAACGCTTATCCGTTCAGGGATTTGTTTCTAGCTTTGATGCTAACGGCCAGGAGTGAGTTACAAAAAAAGGGGGTTGAAGATATTAAAAATATGATGGAAGCTAGTGGATACAACATTAAACGCACTGATATTACTCATTACTTTTTTCTTTTTCTTTTTTTTTTTTACTTAAGGACAACAAAATAATAGGTAATCTGTACGAAGGCTTAACGTCACATCAAATTACTTGGCCGCTGTGGTTGTAATGATAAAGGTAAAGACGACATGGCAGATAACGAGCTTTGGGAGCATTTTCTATTGTTTTAAATTAAACAAAGTCATTTTACTGTACGTCTTATGAAAATTGGGTACAATTTTAACAATGTTGTTGTTTTACATTGTAAAGTCTGCCTGTTTTAACAGCAGTGTGTAAACGTCTTGCATATATCCACTGTACTGCCAAGACCTACCTCTAAAGTCTGGAAATACTGATGAGACGTTATTAAGGTTTTCCATAATCCATGCTCTACTGCTCACATTTTCCTTTGTGTCCTGGAAAGAAAGGCCTCATTGGCCCTGCAGGACTTTCCCATGTAATTAAATTAAATTCACTGACCCTGTCTTGACCTTTGGGTCCAGTTTGGCAGGAGCTGACAATGTGCCTCTGTCCTCACTCCTGTCCCTGGATGCATCTGAAACCCTCCAGCACTCACTCATTTAAACCATTACAGCCCAATTTAGAGCTAGTTTGGAGTAAACAGATGGGCCTGTTGGTCGCATTCAACCGTCGTGTGACAGCGGCGTGTCCAACAGCTCGATTTAAACACGCTAGTGAAAAGTTGGCATTCCCCTGTTGGCTATAATATGATTTTATTGTCACAAGTCAAAGCGGAAGGGAGGGAGGCCGGTGGAACAGCGTGTCCATGGTTGACTCCTACACATGAAAGTGCTGGACAGAGAACGGTGGTTTAACGGCTGTTTCTTCTTTTACAACCAAGACTTATGATTCCGTTTAACTGTGACTGACTAGATTTGTTCTCTGCTCCACAGCTGAAGGGTCACTGTGCAGGAAATGCAGGAGGCCAGGGGGAAAAAGGAAGAGTCACCGTTATTCTGGAGCAGGGGAATCCTCTGCAGATGATCCAGCTGCTCCAGAGCCCCTGGGAGGACAGATTCAGGGTAAGCCTGGTAGCTTCTGTTCTTTAGCTTTGGATACACACACACACTGTCATTTATACTTAACAGTGCACCACGTGTTGCACATAAGAGAAGTAGAAGCACTCAGTTTTGTTGGCACAAAAGACTAGAGAAGTGGACATTTGACACTCCTGGAGGTTTGACATCTGTCCCTCAGTGTATTTGATCAGGTTGTGGTTGAAATAGAGATGGGTCCTGGAGTTAATCCACTGGAGGCTTGGAATGTCATGTCTCTCTCTCTCTCTCTCTTTCTCTCTCTCTCACCCACACACACACCATTCTTGGATCCCTGCGGTGCAAACTCAGCCTCTGTTGACTCCTACTGAGAGCATACCTGTGATGGGGGTTGAGCTCAGCCTTTGTGTGTGTGTTTATGCATGGATGTTTGAAAAAAAAAAAAAGACAGATTAAGCCATGGACCAAATCTAACGTGACATGCATGTTTTGTTGAACCCACCACACAGCCCCCAGCAGCTGAGGACAAAATCCTTTGCCCCCCTACAGTTTAGTTAAAACATAGGCATTGTCTTAATTATGTTATCAGTATAAAGTCTATATCTGGAGTTTCAAATGTAAAAAAAAGCATAGTTGAGACTTACAAAAAATATTTTCTTGCTCACAAAGTAAGTGAATGTTGAGTCGGATTAGGCCAAAGTAATAATCTTTGGTGAAACCAATGTTTGGTATGGTGGTGGTAAGATAGAAGGGAGAGGATATGACCCAAAGAACACCATCCTCACAGTATAAAACGGAGGTGAAGTATATTAACTATACTATATACTATATACTATACTATTACTACTATTGCAACAAGTAGCCTTTTATTGATGCACCAAAAAGTTTTTTTGCCTTAAATCTAATGGAAAAGCTTTAGCATGAACTCAAGACCACTGTTTATAGCACAAGAGAATTCAACCGAAGTTGACAGATTTGTCACTGTATATGTGGAGGTGTTCTGGTAAACGTAGTTGAAATATGTTGAAAAGTAGTCCAAACCTTGCAGATGCTATTTAAACCAACCGCTTTTCAGATGAATGCTAATTGTTACTTGAATGTAACACCAGACTCTGGGCCTCATATCATCTTTCATACACATGTGTTCATACTGTAAAACACCCCCGCGGAGCTGCACGGCCGTTTGCAGCTACGTTGCATCTGCGCAGGCTACAATAATCCAGGGGTGTTTGGTTTCAGCCAACACTGCTGTTACTGGGCTTCGGTTCCACCGGTGACGTCCGCTGGGCTCGGTGACATTACCCAACACAGCAGCTATGTTTGTGTGACCTGATCATTTCATGCTCTGTCAGTGCGTGGCTAATGCCTTTATTTTGCCTTCAGTGGTCTATGTAGCTTCTCCTCCCGTTTTATTATAGGCTTTAAAGAGTACTATAAAAAAAACACTTGGAGGAAATGGCTCGCAAAGTGCGGTGGTTGAAATGTCTTAAAGGCAAATCACACAGTATTTATCAAAACTAACTTTTATATTTTATTACTCTTCAGCCATGTTGGGAAGCTTAATTATATTGTCCAACATTGGACAACATGGGGAAGCTTAATTATATTGTCCAACATTTTACCGTTTAAAAGTAGAACACAAAAAACATTGTTGTTTGTTTATTTCATTGCATGAAAAAAAAACTGAACAAATTTCTAATGTTTTTGCTGAGAAAATTAGATACTGCGGTTCAGAAAAAATCTTACAAAAAATATTTTTTGTAAAAATAAAAAAGACATTAGTTATTTTAGTTGACTCCAATATGTGGCTCGGGGGCCGGTTGTTGTACATGGAACATTTTTTTCTGCTTTTGACTTTATTTTCCTATAACATTTGTAAATGTCTCAGTTAACCATTATTCTACTTTTGAATTTGTAATAGTATAATTACTTATGCTAAATTTTCCTCTTACAGTTAACAATTTATTAAGTTTAGGTTTTTTCTGTGTTCTTCTTTATTGTGCATTTAATGCCAGGTAGAACTTGGTTATTTAAACATATCATCAAACTGATAAGTTGAAAGGCTTAGTGGAAATGTTTTGGTTTTGGATACAACACTGGGATCACTGAAGAAAATGAATTTAAATGAAAGTAAATTTGATTTAAAATGCAGTACTTTTTGCTCTTTATTATAGTTATAAGTACTGAGGTCACTTGTGGTAGTCAAACGTCTTTAACCCTTCAGTCATGTCCAGGTGATGGTGGTATTGACTAATCTTCTTGTCCTCCCAGATTTGTCTAGACCTGGTCAGGCTCCTCCACTTCCTTTCCCAGTCTCCGCTGGGCTCCGTGGCTCTGCTGGACTTCCAGCCTCGGCAGTTTGTCACGGTGGGTGGCGAGCTGAAGCTGACAGACCTGGACGACGCCAGTGCAGAGGAGACGCGTTGTCAGAGCTCGGCAGACTGCAGCCTCCAGTTCCCAAACAGAAACTTCACTCTGCCCTGCTCCGCTCGGGGAGTGTGTGAGGGTCTCAATGAGAAGAGGAACATTTACAACGCCTATAGGTAAGAGAAGTGACACTTTTACTGCATGACAGATGTGTGACGGATGGATGCAGCGGCGACGATACGGATAATTGCATAAATACAGGTTGCGCTGACAAGGAAACCACCAGCTGTGTGTGTGAAGTTAGTTACGAGATATGTTCAATGAAATTAGTAGCTCTAGCAGAAAAAGGAGTATTCCCCCTTTAAACACGCCTTACATTTTTGACAGCTTTACGAACTGTTTGTTTTAACACCGATGTGGGACAAGTCATGTTCTGTGGGAACTATGCGATGGGGCTTGTCTTGTTTTTCTCTCTGCTTCAATGAGTTGTCTCTGCTTGGCCTCAGGTATTTTTTTACCTACCTGCTGCCCCACCAGGCCCCGCCCGGCCTCACACACCTGGTGGACAACATCATGAACTCCACAGGTGAGTGTGTGTGCACTTTTAAGGAGCAGCAAAGTAATTGCAGTGGATGTAATGAAGCGTCCAGGGCCGCACTCCTCTTCTAATGAGTTTAGGAAAAAAAAAGAGTTCTTGACGTCTTGATGTAATGAATACACGTTGTTATCTTGTGAGATCACACAGCGAGGGTTAGATAGTGGTGAGGAGAGAATCAATCAAACCATATTGGACGACTTTATGCCTGTGGTGAGTTTGACTCCATGCATTGTGTGTGTCTAGGGGAGCTGAAAGCTGACATCAATCAGACACTGGAGGCCTTTGAACACATCCTCTCCCTCTACCAGTCTGGCCTGCACCTGGACAACCTGCCTCCATCAATAATCAGAGGTAGGTTACTATGGAAGGAAGGCTGCTTTTTACGTACAGAGTACACCAAGCTCTTATGCACTTTTGTTCTTTCTTGTACCTTGAGCACCTGAATCCTTGGCCCTTTTTTGATTCACTTGAAAAAGAAACCCAGCGCTCCCTGCTCCACCTTCCATTATGTATCCAAAAAAAAAATGAAGGGCAGAGGAGGTGCTTGTGTGGTTCACACTGTTTGGACAGGTTTAATAAGCAGCTGCGATGAAAGGACACGGCCAACATAGTAGGATTAATCCTGCACGTCAGTAACCATTCAACAGAACTGAGCTGGGATTGGCTCTGAGTCACTTCAGGATTTTTGTTTTTTAGTTTTCCTGTTTTTGTTATGTTAACGTTTTTTCCTACAAATTCTTATTTGTAGGAAAGGGTTTAGTTTTCCTGTTTTTGTTATGTTAATGTTTTTTCCTACAAATTCTTATTTGTGGGGGGGGGGCAAAAATGGCACATGGATAATGTTCATGTTCATATTTTCTGGTAATGTCGGACCATTTAGTGTAATAATAGCTTTGCGGCTAAGTAGCTAAGACACTTTTTTTGCATCTTATTACTGAATTATTTTTTTATTTTCCTTTTAATTTGCATATGTTTAACCAATTTTGGGTTAACACTAAAATAATTTGCTATATCAATAAAAAACTGAAATGTTTCGTGCAAATCTCCCCCAGTCCAAGTGGCCTGGATTTAATTAGCCAACTGAAAAAACAAAGGCATTTGTTATGATCTGAGGGGCAGTCATACGTCACCTAGCTGTAGATAGAGATATTACAGGAGTTGCATTTGGGCGTAAAATATTTTTACATTTTTGAATCTGTTCCCCTTAAAAAGAAAATCTGGACATCCTTGGTTTAATTTCCATTGGTGTGTTTTTACATTTTTTGTCTCTGACTGCAGCCCCTCACCCCTCCCTCTGAATGAAATATTAATACCAGAATGACTGGCCCGCGTTCCTGTGGTGAAATTTTTCCATCCCCCAGATGCTGGACTGTTTATATAGCAGCTCTTTGTGAATTTAATCACAGAACCAGAGCTCGGGCACTGAGGCTGACATAAGGAGGGAATGTTTTTAGTTTAACAAGTCAGTGCCTGAGCCAACGCTGCTGCTGCTGCTGCTGCTGCTGCTGCTGCTGCTGCAAATGAAAATGTGTAAATTCATTTTGCCATACTTTGGGATTTTTGTTTGAACACTGGCATTTTTTGGTCATGCACAAACCAAGTCGCTCACTGTTTGACTTAGTTCAGTTTGTTTGTGTTAATTAAGCAAAGCTGATTTCATCGTATGGCAGTGAACACACACGTTTTCTGTTTTCCTAAGAGTTACATGAAAAGAGTCAAACTCCGACTTAGTTAGAATGAAAAAACAGCGACAGGAAACAGGAGGTTATTTTAATTTATCCTCTTGACTAGAAAAACTTGGCCCTGTCTAGAAGTTGGAAAATATGTGTAAACCAACACTTCCAAAGCTGAAAAAAAATTCCCTTCGATTCATGTTGTTTGTGTAAGGTTTTACAGGTTGATGACAAGTCTGTGGAAACAGTCATGAACATAATCCAGTGTAAAAGTTTTGTTTATTTAATGTAATCCTTTTTATTTGTTTTCGTGTATAGAAGCAAAAAAAAAAAAATCATGAAAAAAGGTCTCACGTCAAGAATATAAGTCTTGTTGTTTCAAATTAATCTTCTTAAGCATGTAATACATCAGGGAAATGAGCTCATATTTAAGAAATACAAAAACTTTTTTTAATGTCAGCGAGGTGGTCCAGCTTATTTTGAGATGGAATTACTATATATGGATGGATGCAGTGAAAATACAAAAAAAAAAAAGAAAAACACACATCACAATAAATCCTAGTTCCAAGGTTGTTTTTCTCTATATGATTAGAACTTTCTGTATAGCGTTAGCATTAGCAACATAGTCTTTCAGAAGTAAGACACTTGTACTGATTTTAGGAAAATTATAAATATTATTTTACCTCATTGGCAGGAAATACAAAATTAATTTGATAAAACAAATCTTATTTCTAGGAGTGGGTAATGCAAAAATGAAAAGCTCTCACTGCCTGTAAACATAAAACTTACTTGAGCTAAGCTGCTAACAGCAGCAGCTATTCATTTTTATAGAGCAGAACATGGATTAACACACTTTCACCAGGGGTAAATAAGATATTTTCAAACTTAACGGTCAGATATTTTTGTTCTTAGTTTACGCCCCAGTGTGTCCCAGGGCAAAACACTTATTTGTCCTCGTTTGTGATGATTTTAAATTTCTGAATTTTCTTGGCACCTGCGTGTAGAGCGTTGTTGCCTTCGGCATGGATCATTTCCTTGTCACAAGCCTTTCATTACTGATTTGTATGATTTGGTTGTTATCAGCTGCTGAAAGGGAAACAAAACTGCACCTAATCAGAACAATGGAGAGTATAACATGGTTTAACAACATTTTTTTACAATTTCTCAAATGAACAGTCTACTTCATTCATTAGTGAAAAAATGTTTAATGAGCCATGGGACTGTCTAGAATCGTTTGTCCCGATGCCAGAATCAGTTATAAAGGGCAAATTACTCCAATTTACTCAACTACATTTAGTTTTTTAAACATTAATCATATGTCTGGAAATTGAACTATAACCAGTTATTTAGTGTTTAACAGATGTTTTGAATGAAATGTGACAATCATATCTTTGTTTCTATCTTTTTTCACAACAAAATTTAACCTTTCTAAACCATTTCGTTCACTAAATCCTGTAGGTTGTGTCTATGATAAATGTTATGTTAAAAGTATGTTAAAAATACTATTGGGCCTTGGAGTATCACAGAAACTATTTTAGTTAAGGTAAGATTTGAAGCTAGGAACTAGCCTGGATGAGCTAAAGTTAGCCACCGTAGCTAATTTTTGGCTGAAAGATTAATACATTTGACTAGAGATATCTTAAAAAGAACACAAATGACTGTGTTAGAAGCAAAAACTAATTCTAGTTGACAAAATCAGAAACAAGATGGTCGCCTACAAACTTCTATTTTACTACACTTCCAGAGTACTGCAAGCAACAAGTATGGACCTAGTCATTTTGAAGTTGGTCTTAACCAACGCGGCAACTTACAGATGATACGAAGAGCAGCCATTTTGTATTTGAAATTTAGAACAGGCTTCTCCGTATTGTGGCAGCCATCTTTGTTATTGCTTCATGTCCCGGTCTTTCAGTATCATCTTATGTAAACTTCGTCCCAATGCAGGAAACCCGCTCTGTTTATGTTCTGAATTTGCACCTCTCTGGTCTTCACGTTGGGCTTTTTGGTAAATTAAAGCCATAAGGGTTCCAGTTGCACTTCATTAAGTCATTTTGAAATCATCTGACCGAGAGTTGAAAACCAAAATGGCTGCCTCTGCTATCAACTGAGAAACGATGCTCGTGTTCTTTGCCGCCTTTGTTTCCTTTTAAATAGGCCACATTCACGCTCAAATTTGGTTTGTAGCTGGCCGCACTTCAAAGAGCACAAAAAATGCTAATTCTCAGAGGCGTCCATCTTGTTTATGAACTTGGCAACGGGAAGAGCAAATCTTTTAAAGGGCAGTGTTGAACTGTTCTGCGACCTGCTGCCAACTTGAAGGCACATTCAACCCTGTGTGACACCTGCAGTAGCACCATCTTCTTCATGGAGGGTGGAGAAGCTAACGCTATAAACAATTAAACAACCAGAAGAAAATGATGAAATCAAAACATGTTGCAGTTATAAATTAAAAACCACAGGGGCTCGTTAAAATGTCGTTCCTAAAATATGAGGAGAAAAATGGAATGGCTGCCAAAGCTTTTATGAAGAAGCCAAATGGCGCTGAGTGTAAAAGGGGTGTGTCTGAGTGTGTGTGTGTGTGTGATGTTGGTAAACTGTACTTTTAAGGACAATTTTTTTTTGGGGGGGGGGCACCTTTTCCCAGTGGATCCCACTGAGTGAGTGGATATTTAGAGGTTTAAAATGTAATTTAGAGCTCAGTCTGGGATAAGGTTCAGATTAGATTAAGGATTAAGATTAGGCACATATTTGTAATAGTTAAAGTCAAGGTTAGTGGGTCTGGGAATGCATTATGTCTTTGTGAAGAGCTCACCAAGCACAAAAACTGTGTGTGTGTGTGTGTGAGAGAGAGTATGTGTGGTGGGTGTGTGTGTGTGTGTGTGCCGAGCAGGTCTTGAGTTTTTAATTTGAAATTGCTGACAGATGGAGATTCATTAGAAATGTAGATGGAACTCTTCCTGCGCTGAGATCATCTGTAATTTGATGAAGGAGTCTCCTGAAGATAAGTCTTTTATAAAACAGCTGTTGCTCCAGGAATAAATGGACTTTTAGTGTGTTTTAAAATATATTTATGCCCCAATCGTTGTCCTGAAACATAAATGTGTGTGATGTTTTAGATGAATATACATACAAGAGTGGAATTTATCTTATTATTGGACAGCTTGTATTTACACCAGATGTCTATTTCTCCATCTCTTCTCCTCCACGTTCCCCTCAGATTTATTTTTTCGTCTCAAGAGAAATACACTTTAAATACTCTCCCCTACTCTGTTGTCTCTGACCCAGAAGTGAGATACCCGTCCCTCTTGCTCCCCCCCCCCCTACCCCCCCCCCCCCCCCCCCACACACACACACACACACGCAGACCAGCTCCTTCCATTTAGGAAGGTTAACAGTTTATAACAGCGTGCCTCCTCCACACAAACACACAGAGCAGGTTTTTGTCCATCCGCGCTCGTACACTCCATTTTCCCGTGGCTCTTGCTAATGTGTAGCAGATGATTTAAGGCCGGATCCAGCAGAGGTCTGACTGAAAGAATTATAATGATGAATGAACACAAATGTTGGACTGGAGGAGGTGAAGTGAGTTTCTTTCCCTTCACGGCAGATCAACTCTTTGATCATTCTTAAAAAAAAAGAAAGAAAATCCTCTGGGCACTGGCTTAAACTCTCGTGACTGCGTGGACGTTGAATTTTCCGCTCCATAAACAAGGTTTTTTGACGCTTTTGTGATCTGTGAAAGTAATATTTTAGTTCTCGTTAAACAAGACGTGCAGATGGAATTGGGCAAAAAAGAACAAAGTTATTTGGAAAAACTACCAGTATTTTTTTATTGAATTATAATCAATCAATGATTTTGTAAATTCACAGTTGGTCATCACTGATCCAACTAAATTTTTTTACCCCACTTATTTTCTTCATTGACTTCATGTCTGTGTTCAGTGCAGCCCTGTGTTAATTCGAGGCCTATTGACTGAGACCATTTAGCTCCATTTTGTAGTAATTTGAGGAGTCAGTGAACCAGGATGGCTCCTAATTATTTCCCCTCGTTAGTTTTTCCCCGAGATTTAACCCTAGAATTGAAAATGAAAAGTTTTTTACCTCACTAAAATCATGAATCACCTTCCTTAAAAAAAACAAAAAACAAAAACAATGTCTTGTGCTTGTTTTAAAACTGTCTATATCCTCACAAATCAAAATGGCTTCTTCTTTCTCCTGTGGTTAGATTACAACGTGATCCGAGGAATGGGAACGTCAGGGAATGTGGAATACCGCTGCTGGCCGTCCTACAGTCAGCAGGGCTGCGTTCTGTCGGTGTACAGCGCCAGAGAGGCTGCGTACATCTGCAACTCCCATTCTCAGTGCAGCAGCTTCTCTCTGACGGGACAGAAGACATGGACGGGTGGGTGAACTTTTATAATCTCTAATCTGATCCACATTCGCAATCTGGAGTTTTCTCCGTGGACGTACTGTAACCATTAGTTACAGTTATGTCAGTGAAGTCATATCTGTTCAACTGTGTGTGTCTTTGGACCAGGAGTACGTGCAGCTGTCTTTACCTACTTCTTAGGCGAGTGTTTTTCAACCTTGGGGTTGGAACCCTACATGGGGTCACCTGAAATTTAAATGGGGTCATCTGAAATATTTTGTGATCCATTTAAAAATGGCTGATGAAAATATATTTTTTAACTAATTATTATTAGTTAAAAATTAAAAATTAAAAATTATATTTAAAAACACCACACAATCTTAAACCACTGTTCTTTCACTTTCATGAATAAAATCAAATAAAATGCAGCAGATTAAAGTATCTGAGCTGGCGCATCGTGATTGGCAGCTGCGGTCACCTGACTGCACCAATGACAGCTACTAAAATGTCTGTGCGGTCACCAAACATTTGTGAGCTCTATATTATTATAAAATATTGAACTGTTTTTACTGATGTTTTTGTTACATCTGTGCTGTTTGCTGTTAACTCGTATTCATATTTCCTTAAACACTTGGTTTTAACATATTTAATTTTTTGTGAAATGTTCAGATTCTTTAAGGTGTTTTGGGGTATTTTCATCAAATTTAAAGTTTTATACTTCTATAGTTATAATTAATTTTGTGAATCTCTTATTTTTTGCTAAATGTGGGGTTAACGTCTTGCTATTTCTGGGATATATTTTGACTTTTTTTTTCTCATTTAGCCTCTTGTCTTAAGCACATCTTTTAACCATCTTTTGTTATCATTAATTTTTTTAAACTATATTTTCCATCCCGGATCTTTAATGATTTAGAAACCCAAGCTGAGCTGTGTGTGTTCAGATTGTCTGACACGGCGAAAGGCCCAGGAATCGCTGTATGTGCGACATTAGCGGAGCTGAACTTTTTCCACTTAGATATTGTGAAAATTACCTTTATATTTTTTATGAGGTCATTAAATGCCCCTGTTATAGGGATTTCAGGGGCACTTTATATGGGTTTTCACATGCATTTTGCGCCGAGACCTCGCTCATTTCTGACCCTATGGCCTGCAGTTTTCACACGTTGTTTTCATAAAATCGTCTCTGAGCACACATGCTCCGTGCCCATAATTACAAGCTAGATCTTGTTTGTCACAAGACATTGATGGCTGAACAAACACGCCGAACTTCTCGAAACTTTTGATGAAGCTTTTAAATGTTGAAATGTACATAGTCATTAAGTAAATCAAGTCAGAGCCTGTTTTTTTTTTTTTTCCTTCTTCACTGATGTTGCCAAATGTTAACGGCTTATTTGTCTCCTCCTGTTTGTTCTGTGTTGTTTTGTCTGTGTGTGTGTGTGTGTGTGTGTGTGTTGTTTTCTCTGCTCATCTTTTGCAGGACGCCTCCTGGCCTCCTTCAGGAGCAGCTTCAGTCATCTGGTGCCTGATGGGACCTCGGAGGTGTATGTGAAGAAATCGAAAGCACCTGAAACGACGGCTGCGTGAGAGAACGCTCGTGTTTCAAAATCGTCCGTCGGAGTTTCTGTGGAGCGGCACGAAGAGATAACGCACGGCCGGCGATGTGAAGCAAATGAAAATGTTGTGCTTTAAGATAAGAAAACGGCGTCGTCCGTGTGAACACGTTGAACGCAGCTCAGCTCTGTGGGTTCACAGGAGGAGGAGGAGGAGGAGGTGGTGTTTGAAGTGAGGCAAGTGAATGTGATGTATTTATAGGGCTTCTGCTCAGTGACTGTTTGATCTGCCTGCCAGCTCACTGCCTCTGCCAACTACTATTTAAAGGGATTTCCCTTCAGGTACAATTAAGGAGGGAGAGTCTCATGTGCCCTTGACATGTTTTTTTTTTCCTAACCTTGTCTTTATTTGCCATGTGTGTTGGCTTTTTTCTGGTGAGGCCAGGTCTACGTAGTAGGACTTTTAAGCCAAAGAGGTAATGAGAACAGCCACTGCTTCTCCACGTTTGAAGCCTGAGGACGAGAAGAGAAAACAAGCTCTTATAGGAACACACTTTGATGTTAATGCGCTGAGGCTGCGCCTGTTTTTCACGGTTCCCCGGCTCAGCTGCGCCGTGGTATGAGACCCGGCGAACGCCATGTAAGCGTTTACACGTCAACGTGGAGCACAGATTAAAACCATTCCAAAGTCGATTTTACACGCTTTCGTAAAAGAAACAAACTTTTTAGTGCTTAGTTCACATAAATATTTATACGGTCAAATTGAATGTAAATGTTCGTACATGATTTGTGCACTATAGCTTACATGCACCTTGTGGGTGAATCTTTTATTTTCAATGAAAAATTGTTCACTTCAGTGTTTTTGTTTTTATACATCACTAAATGTTACTGTACAGTTTTTGTAATTATATAAATGTTATGTTTCTACTTTTAATGCTGGACGGCTCATTTTGATTTGATTCTTATTTACACCTGTCTGTCTGTGTGTGTGTCCATTGTGTGTGTGTGTGTGTGGGCACCAAGCTGGGGGGTGACCTGGTTTTGTGTGTGTGTTTAGATCCTTTATCTGATGCTGTGCTCCCACATCAACAGTGTTCAGCTCCTCTGAAAGGGTGACTCTGCAAACCCACCGAGCTCCGCAGAGTTTGCACAAAACCTTAGGAATGCATTCAAATGCCGCGTCATGCTGAGCTCATTATGAGTCTTAATTAATACATGTGAATTGGCTTACTTACCGGGCGTGAGGGAGCGGGGCGGGGGCTGTTGGTCTAAGACAAAGGCAGCGAGCGGAACAATCAGGAGCTCAATCTGTGGTTTGCACACGAATGGACTTGCCATCTGTGCCTGCCAGGAGGAACCTGGTGAGGTGAGATAATGGCAGGACCACAGGGTGGCAAACGGAGGGATCAACGGGGTCGAGAATTGCAGCACGGAGATTCATCGGCAACACGGAAGACAAAGGTCAAACCGAACGCCTGCCGTGCCCTGACATTCACCGCTCGCTCTGACAGACTGTGTAGATGTTTACCTCCACGTTGAGTGAATCCTGACCTAAAACGTCGGATTCATGGATTCATTCATTTCAACCAGAGTTACTTTGGTCCCGATGCAAGTTCAATGAAAGAGTAGAAGTAATAAAAGGTGATATAAATATGGATAAATCATCAGTAAAACGACAGAAAAACCACCAGTGAAAATGAGATGAGATGACAACAATCATAATGTGATGACAGCAGTGACAGTCCTGAACCACTGAGGCAGTGTGGAAGTGGAAGAACATCAGTTCATATTGGAACATGTCCTGTCTTGACGCAGTGGTGGACTTGGGTCGGGAAGGTTTCAGGTTCGAGTCCACTAGCTGCCAAGTTACCACTGATGCACATGGCACCGTCCCCACACACTGCCCCCCCCCCTGCTCACTTTGGTGATGGGTTACTACCTGTGTTGTGTCACAATGACAAAAAAACTCACTTTATCTACGTGGTTACATAGAAGCAGAATTTAAAAAAAAAAACATTCCCAAAAGCTACTAAAAAAACATGTTTTTGTTTTTTTGTACTTGATTCTAGATATTTTTGTTTGATTTCTCTGTACCATTGAGCCATACCAGGACTTGAAAGGACATGTCCTGTCTACAGATTACACTTTTATGGCTCAGACAGTGGTGAGGCCCCAGGGTCCTCCTTGGCTAATGTTGGCTCCTTTTGTCTGGACAAAGCCCACTGATGAGAGTCTGATTGTGGAGATTAGGACTCTTTGAGAAAGATGAGATAAAAAAGTGAAAAAAAGTCCACCAACGCAACAGGTCTGACCAGAACAGGACTTTCTGGTGTGTGTGTGTGTGTGTGTGTGTGTGTGTTGGCTACAGTGTTGTTTCTGTGCAGTCTCCACAACAAACATCTGAACATTTAATTACTTGTTTTTTGGTTGACATTTGTTGATTTGGTGCCTATTTAGGGAACTCTTAGGATGAGATTGAATAAAGTAAAAACAACTACAGTAGGATGTACATAATAAATTGCTCAGCCATGTCAGGTGTCCTGTGGTTTTGCATCAGGACGATTATTACCTAGACAATCCACAAGCACGAAAAGGAGATCCAGTGTTGTGACGATAAAAATTTATAATATTATTAATATTTGTATACATTAATTTATTATTTCATTCTAATAAAAATATTGTTCATAATGTTTGGCCACTTTAATTTCCATGGGTGTGGCTAATATTTCCATTCAATTAAATGCATCTCAACAGGTCTGTAATAATCATTGAACCAACACTGGAACTGTTTAAATCACCTTTTATCCTTTTTACCTAACAGTACAGATTTGGTCCAAACTGAGGTGTATTTTTAATTTGCAGATGCACTTTTTTTTCTTTTTCTTTATTTTTGGTCATCAAAAGGCCGCTGTTAAAGAGATCTAACCCAGGGGTCATCAACACGGTGATGGGTGTGGATATGGACCACTTAAGGTGCCTGTGGAATATGTTCTAAAAGTTAAACCTATTAAGTAAGACTAGACTTTTATTGTTATTACATTATTTAATTGTGTTTCAAAGACGAAGCTCTTCATATGTCTTGGGACCATTAACAGAGCACTCGGTTTAAAAAAGGTCGGTGACCCCTGATCGGGACACTTTAGATGTCTGTAATCAGGCCAAATCTACATCTGAGATTTTTTTTTTAATTTGTAAATCTTTGTCATTTTCATTTGAAACTCAAACATCTCCTAAACCAATGACAAGCCTTTTCCCTGTTAATTGTTTTAATGTGGCGTGATTTGTCAAGTTGAGCTCTCAATGATGGTAAGAAAGAATTACTAGTGACCAGTAAATGGACATGGAGATTTATTTTTAAACTAAATCCAGTGTTTGTAGTGTTTTGGCGCTGCCCCCAGAATTCAAAAAGAGAAAGTGGAAGGCAGTAGACCCAGCGCACTGACAACTGCTGATAAAGTCGGGCAGTGAAACTCTGGTTCCACTTACACTAGTGCAAACACATGCTAAATCACAGAGAGCACCGAGATCCTGAATGGAACTAGAATCAAAACAGGATTCGTGCCAATACTTGTCTGTGTGAAACTACTATCTGAGTGCTTTCCATTTATGTTTCAAAAATCATACTTAGGACGTGTTTTTCGGTTGAATTTCACTTGGCCCATGTGCAATAATTAATTCCAGGCCTTTATAGAGAAGCCCAGATCAAGTATTAACTTTCCCACATGTGAGATCCAGAATGAAAGCCACAAATTAAACCCAAAGATGGACTTTTCCTGGCTCCGTGATAGGCCAGACTGACCATCTATGGTTACTCACATTATGCATTCCACATGTAGGCCACTAAAGTCCCATAATTCAGAGCTAAAGGTGGAGCTAAAGCTACAAGCTGTTTAGCTCAGCTAAAGTACAGAGTGGAAGTTGTTAGCTTTTTTATCCCGACAAAAAAACAAACAAAACAAAAAACAACTTGTAAAGAGACACAGAGTAACAATTTGACTACAGTTTCAGCGTGGACATTGTTTTTTTAACACAAAGGTAATCACTTTAATATATTTTGTCTTTCCTTCATTAGCTTTTGTTTCCACCTTCCAAGCTAAGCTACGCTAATGGCCTGCTGGGTGTAGCCCCTACCAAGCAGACAAGTATCCACTTTATCATCTTGTTCGATCTCGAATTTCTTCAAACTTGCACACACATTAGGATTCCAGAGTGGCAGTGTATGTTAAGAATCTGGAAAAGTAAGCTAGCTGGCTGAACTGGTAACACAGAGAGAACCACGTCCATTGATGATCCGGCAAACAGCCCTTGAATGTCTTTCCAGTGATAAGATTTGATTTATTAAAACTTACAGCTGTTTTTCATCCTCCTCCACATTGGCGCCTGGCGTCTGACTGAGTCTTGGCAGGAGCTAATGGATGTTCTGGCTCCATAAGAAGCTTGCACGTGTTTTTTTTTTTTTTCATGCCCAAATGCTTTTAAACGTTACAAACGTGGCGCGTTGAGAGATTTGTTGGGTTTTTCAGTTGAATGCAGCGTATATACACTGCATACCAGTGAGTCTGCCTTTGTACTCGTGGTAGATTCAGAGGCCACGGGTTAGTGGTGGGTTTGTGAAGCAGCAATGAGTGCAGCTCTAATTCCAGAGGAGGGCTTCACAGCATATTTTTGTATTCTCACTTGAGCCTGAAAGTATCGCCTTTCTTTCCTGTCTTTATTTATTTAGCTGGAACCTGGGAATATACGTGAAGCTTTAAAGGTTTAGCTGCTCTGAGCTGCTTTTTGTGTCTTTGTTTTCGGTGTCAACATGATTTTTTAGTCAGCTACGTGTCAGCTTTTCGTGTTTGCTTCTCATTAAAACATTTCAATTGATCACGTCATATCGCCGTGACTGCGTCCATTGTTGGCAGAGTGTGCCCCTGTCTTAACCGTGAAATTGACAAGTTAGCCTTTTGTGAAGGCTTTGGAGAAGGAGCTGGGGGGGAGGAGAGATATTGTTTTTTTTAACCCGGCTCCATACCCCTCCATTTCTGTTTTTTTAAGTTTCCAGTTTCACCCGACTTGTTTCCGTCAGGTTTTATTCATGACCTCCATCTGGAAATAATATATGTTCATGAAAACAAGCCATCAGCAATTTTAGAGAAGAGTTTGGTGTGTGTGTGTGTGTGTGTGTAGGGAGGGGGTATTAGGGCCTCTTTAGTGGGGTTCTGCCTCAATGAAACAGTGTTAACTAGAAAAAAAAGATGCATGTATATATATGACTCAGCTCAGAACCAAAGCCTTAATCATCCTCTCCCAAAATCCCGGTGCAATGAATTTGCGGGCTGGCTTAAGTCTTTGATTCATATGCAAAGTTATTCATCAAAAGTTGGAAACCGCAGCTGCTCGGAAAAATGACGTGTCAGCCAGGTCTTTGGCAATACGTTTGACCTTGGCTCGGCCTAAAAATATGCATTAACCCAGTGAAAGCCCGCATAGTTCTGCAGGAAAGAAGATCTGGTTTGTGTTTGAGCGGCTCGTGGGACCAACATGCAGCCTGTGACAGGGGAGATAGAGCAGATATTCAGTTCCACTCCGGCCTCACAGAAACACCTCTGTGCCTGTCTGCCGCCTTGGCGGCGATACACGGGAGAGCGCTCGGTCACACCTGAGAGGCTGTGAAGAGTGGCCAGGCATTTAGCCGGCCTGTCCTGGGCAGAGAGGCTTCTTGGTTTGCAGGTTCATTGTCTGTGTATCTGACTCTGTCTAACTAACTATTTGTCTGTCTGCCAGGAGTCGATGCTATCTCCTTTAGAGCCATAATGGCTTTAGCAGGCCCCTGAAGCAGAGAGCAAGTAGGTGTGTGTGTGTGTGTGTGTGTGTGAGAGAGAAAGAGAGAGAGGGCTGAAGGTTTTCATTTCTGTCATGTGTGTGTGTGTGAGAAAGAGAGAGAGGACT